TTAACAATGCCGTAAGCATAACATTCTTATGTAGTGGATTCATTTTAAACAATGCAATCATGTTTTTATGCAATCTGGGAAAGCATTCATTCATTCATTCATTCACTCATCAAATAGCTAGTGAGTGCCTACCCTGTAGAGGGCGCTGTTCCGTGTGCTTGAGAAAAACAAAGCTTCTGTTCCTTAGATTCTTTTTTTTTTTTTAATTTTTTTTTCTTAATGTTTTATTTATTTCTAGGAGAGAAAGAGAGACAGCGTGAGCAGAGGAGGGTCAGAGAGAGAGGGAGTCACAGACTGAAACAGGCTCCAGGCTCTGAGCTGGCAGTCAGCACAGAGCCCGACGCGGGGCTCGAACCCACGAACCGCGAGATCATGACCTAAGCGAAAGTCGGACGCTTAACCGACTAAGCCACCCAGGCGCCCCAGATTCTTATATCACCTAAGTGTTAGACTTCCTGTGGAAAATAAAATCAAGTAAGTTTAACTTTAAGCTTTAAATTGCCTCAGCTTTCTAAAAATGCAGCTGTGATCTGAGACCTAGAAAGCGACTGGAGTAGAAATATTAAATCCTAGCATAGAAGTCATGTGCCTATTACTAATACTAAATCACTATTTGAAGGCCTTACAGATCATTCTGGATGGATCCATGATGATCTACGGATCATCATATTCATTCTGGATTATCTAAAAACATATTCATTTGCTCAAAAAAATGTATTATATTATTACTTTGTGATGCTATCAGCCTGAATGTCTGAAGCTCTTGCCTGGGCCCTACCAGTTGTAGTTCCCACAACCATTTGCCCTCTTGCCGAAATCAAGAGTCAAACACTCAACCAACTGAGCCACCCAGGCACCCCTTTACGGGTGAATTTAAACATAAGAGCAGAATAGGGCACCTGGGTGGCTCAGTCCATTGAGCGTCTGACTTCGGCTCAGGTCAGGATCTCAGGGTTCATGGGTTCAAGCCCCGTATCAGGCTCCAATGCTGTCAGCACAGAGCCCATTTTGGATCCTCTGTGCCTGTCTCTTTCTGCCCCTCCCTCCCTAGCACACACACATTCTTTCTCTCTCAAAAATAAATAAACGTTGGGGCGCCTGGGTGGCTTAGTCGGTTAAGCGTCCGACTTTCGCTTAGGTCATGATCTCACGGTTCGTGGGTTCGAGCCCAGCCTCGGGCTCTGTGCTGACTGCCAGCTCAGAGCCTGGAGCCTATTTCAGAGTCTGTATCTCCCTCTGTCTCTGACCCTCCCCTGCTCACGCTGTCTCTCTCTCTCTCTCCTAGAAATAAATAAAAATATTAAAAATATATAAGTAAAAATAAATAAATAAACGTTAAGGGGCACCTGGGTGGCCCAAGTCATGACTTCATGGTTCATGAGTTCAAGCCCTGCATAGGGCTCTGTGCTGAGAGCTCAGAGCCTGGAGCCTGCTTCAGAGTCTGCATCTCCCCCTTTCTCTACCCCTCCTCTGCTCACACTCTGTCTCTCTCTCAAAATTAAATACACATTTTTAAAAATTACAAAAATAAATATTAATAAACATAAGATCAGGAATGAGGGCATGGGAAGGGGAAAGTGGGGTCATTCTAGCGGTTAGTTACCCATGTTAACGAGCCCTTTTTCGAAGGAAATCTTAAGTAAAGCAGCCTGTTTCTTCTCCAGTTATCTTGCTAGGAGCTGTGTCAAGCAGATGGCAATAGGTTCTTTGAGAGGAATCGCTTTGGAACGGAAGCACTGGCAATCAGAGAAAGCAAAGTCAAAGAGCAGTAGAAGGGAGTCCGCGCCGCCAGAACTGGAGCCGAGAACTATCCCTAGGCCTTGTGATTTCACCAGCAGTACTCCTTACACAATTCCGGGACAGGCTTCAGGCAGAGCTCTTCCAGAAGCCCGAGAAAGCAAAGGGGCACTGATTCTGGAACAAGACTGCTGGAGTTTGAACCGCAACTTGCACACTTTATAAGCTGTGTGACTGTGACCAAGGCCCTTAACCTCTCTAAGCCTCAGTATTCTCACCGGTTAAATAATAACAATGGTGAAGTTTAAGTAGGAAAAGCCAATGTGATAAGCCTGGTTAGCTGAACAAGGGCGCCTTTAGACCAGAGTGGCTCTAATGCCTTGATAGCCTACATAACCAAACCGAAATCAACACCAGGATCAATGCACTCCAATCTAAGAAAATTAAACTGAAGAATGACTAACCACAAACACCCAACGAGGCTCTCCCAAATAAGGCGGCGGTCTAAACTACAGTCAATCACATAACTTCCTTGCTTTGCTTCCACATCTAGACAAAAACCTTTCCCTAGCTCTTCAGAACAGAGTGCTCCTAACTATTTTCAGTTTGGTGTTGCCCAATTCAAATCAATGTTTGCTCAAACTCCTCAAACTTTTAATGTATCTCAGTTTACCTTTAAACACATGTTAAGCACATAACATATTGCCTGGACACAGGAAGTGCAAAAAAACAAAACAAAACAAAAGGCAAAATAATTTTCAAACTATTAATTAGCATCTCATTAAAGAACTGAATTTAAGGGGTGCCTGGGTGGCTCAGTTAAGCATCCGACTTTGGTTCAGGTCATGATCTCACGATTCGTGGGTTCGAGCCCCACATCGGGCTCTGTGCTGACAGCTAGCTCAGAGCCTGGAGCCTATTTCAGATTCTATGTCTCCCTCTCTCTCTGACCCTCACCTGTTCATGCTGTCCCTCTCTCTCTCTCTCTTTCTCTCTCTCTCTCTCAGAAATAATAAAACATTAAAAAAAAATTTTTAATTGAATTTAAGTAATAATGCTAATTATATGTAAATGAAAATCTACTACATATGTATGTATGTGTGCAAGTATGGTATCCATACACAAAAATACTATATTTTATATAAATATACATATATACTTATTGCACATATACACTAAACTCAAACGCTTAGTTTCCCCACTGTTAAACAGATTTATTTCCATTTATCTTACTAGAATAATGTAATGTTTACACAGAGGATATAACTGTTTTCTCCTATACATAAGTGAAATGAAATTCCTCACTGCAATTTCGACAAAATATTCTATTAGGGTTTATAGCCACTGGAGTCCTTGTAATAAGACCCAACAATGGTCTTAACAACATTATTATCAAGAAGGATAGTGATCTCATCACATTTCCTCATATTTTTGTAATGTCTTTGTTATCCTTAGAACCAATTCAAGGGAAATTAACAACATGACCTGCGTGGAGAAATAATTTAAATGACAAAAATTAAAAAGTCAAAAAAGAAAAAAAAGTAAGTCATATTGGATGCTATACCATGACTGACTCCCTTTTTATTGTTGAAGGATGCAGAGTTTTGAGAACCAAGGACAAAAACGAGAATGAAATTAATTTCTGAATTTCTAAACCCAGTTTATGGGGGCCGAGAAAAACAAAACTGGTTTACTGATCTGTGATATTATCAGAGGAATTAAGAAGTACCAAAGAACTTTGCCTATCCCACAATTTGACTTACTTATCTATTCTTGCCTACGTTCATACTGAATATGTATGAATATGTACTTGTATTCACTGGATAAATACGGGTACATATTTGGTACCCTGTCCAAGAAAATCCTCAAATCCAAGATAATTTCTGTTCTTAAATGAAAAGATATATCGCTTCTCTCACCATCAATCAATCATGGCAGCATATTACCATAGGGAACCATCTCATCAAAACGGACTCTCATTTCTACAAAATCCATAATCCTGACATTGAGAACACATTCAAGTGAATTCCTCTTTCTATACTGCATAGAATGCTTAATAACATCTGATCACTCTCTGCTGAGACAGGTAAAGCACAAAACAACAATCCTAATGTTAGAAACTGAAGTGCTTTATTAAAGCACTAAAACAAATAACCTTCAGTGATACACTGACCAATACAAGACGTAAAGGCATTAGAATGGCCTGGACATATTCTCTTTTCTTTTAAACGAGACTGCAGAGTCACGAGGCAAGGAAGCAAGCTGCAGGGCTAACAGTAAAGTTATTGAGTTTATAACTGATTTTCAGGCTATAAATGATACTAAAAGATCTTGGTGGCTTAAACACATACTCGTAATTTGCCTTTGGCAAGAAGGGGTTTTTAGTGGCCTTTAGGCAATTTCCTTACAAAAGAAAAGTCTGTCTTTCTGAATTTTTTGCTCATCATCATTCACTAAATATTTACATCCCAGGCTTGAATTTTAATTTTCCCAAATACCAATGTAAATTTTCCTGGAATAAATGAGACTTCGTAACATTCGGTCATTCGGTGCCAGGAAGGTGGGTTCTGCAGTGACTTTACCGCCACAGTGAGTCATGGTAGTTGCATAACAGAAGTACCTGTACTGATTGTCAGTTAATTTAAGATCACATTTTTTGCTTAAGGTTTTCCCCTCACCCCGACTTCCACTTCCTCATCTACCTTCCCACACCAGACTCTTCTAGATCCTCCGGCTGCTACCTCTACTTCTCGCAGTCTTTTCATAAAGATTGTTTTCAGGAGTCTCTACATCAAACAGAAAACTGATACCAGGTATAACCTGAAAGGTAAACTCACCTCAGCAAGAGGATCAAAAAGTCATGCGGTGTCTTGCTAAATAGTCTCTTCCTTAATTTCCTTCTTTGGCTTCTTACGTTTAAAAAAAACAAAACAAAACGCTGGAGGGTAGTCATTGACTCAACGACCTGCCTTTTTCAATAGTTGCACCCCCTAAATGCATTTGCGCTACAATTTTCCTTTGAGGGCAGAGAAGGTGAGGGACTGACTTCTCATCAGTGATCCTGGCCACTCATTATGTATAATATGCCCCAGAAGCGCCGATGACAGAAATGGAAGCTCGTAAGAGCCATTCCTCTAGACGCCAAGCATGTCCGGCCATGTGGCCCACAGAGCCCTAGTGAGTCTGCGCAATCGGCCCCTCCTTCCCCTCCCCCCCCCCGCCCCCCGCAGGTACCAGGAGTCCTTGCGCAGGCGCAAGAGGAAGGTGCGGCTGTGGCTGCTGCCGTTGGAGGCCCGCGTGGACTCAGGAGCCTGAGGGCCTGCTGGGTCCTGGGCTCCTGGCTACCTCAGTGATGTTCACCTGGCAGAGTCTGGGGGCCTGGCCCTGAGGGCGCCAGTCGGCTGGAATCTGCCTTTTGAGCCAGGCCTGGGCACTGGCTGGAGGACCCGGAGGGGTGCTGGAGGAGCCTCCTGGGCGGGGAGACCGGCCCCTGCGGGGATCCCCCCTTTTAGCCTCGGCCTGCACCTGACAAGGCAAAACTCGATCCTTAGGACCTTGACCAAGTAAGATGAGGGGTAATGCTGCCGCTTTACTTCCGCGATTTCTTAGGTGTTAAAGGCCCTCCGGGGGGCGCAGAGACAGGATTGGGTGCCCCCCACCTGCCCCTTCCTGCGCCGCCCATCCTTGCGCGGACAGCCTCAGCCAGTGCGTTTCATCGAGTGTGAGTCCCAGGGTCACAGCCCAGATCTGGCCCTGGACGTGCAGAAGTGAATTCCTCCACTTCCGGGAGCTCTCCCTGCCTCGGGAGCCAGTCCTGATCATCCAGAGTGAGATGACACCGTGATGTATTTTGGGGAGCACGGAGAAGAGTGTTAACAGGCTGGTGAGGCAGAGGAGGCTTCCCAAGGAAGGTTTGCTGTTGGAGCTGTTAGGGCTGAACCCCAGGGAGTGGCTGGGATGAGGCTGAGAAGGTAGGTGGGCAGAGAGCAGTTCAGGAAGGGCTTTATCGGCCCTGCCAAAGACTTTGAACTTTATTCGGAAGACAGTGAGGAGCTGGCGTGCCTGCTAAGGGTGGACCCGTGGTGTCTAGATTTGAGCTCTCTGTGACTGTTGCAGAATTACTATGTGTAAGGGAATTGAAGTGTAGGGGATAAGTCCGGAGTAAGGGCTAGGGGCTTGTCCTGCAGCTGGCTTTTGGGATTAGTGACGGGACCACCAGAAAATAAAAACAAATCTTTAATTTTTATTTTTTACTCATCTAATTTCACAAACAGGAGATCTTTAACTGGCTTGTAGAGTAACCGAATGTAGAATGTCATTCGAAAAAGTCCTAACTATCCTTTATTCCAGAAATATATTATAGAATTTCTTAGTTCCTTCCATCGATGAAGCTAAAGAATTGTAAACGCACACACACAGCCTATACTTTCTTGGTACTTTATTAAAGTTTTGGTGGTTTTGGTGGGGGCCTGATGGAGACTCTAATGGTGCTATTCTTCCCAAGTGACTCAAGGTGCTTCCACTATCAGCTTTGTGAAAAGAATCTTTCTGGGAACACCGAAGAGCTATTTTTTATTATTTTCATAGCAATCTAGATACGACTTGCTCATTACTTTATATGTGAATTCTGCAATTCTGTGTCTTTTATTTAAGCATGACAGAATGATCAGTCTTGGTTGCCTCCTAGGCCTATACCCTTTCTTTGGTATTTCTCAAAGGTGGTATTTCAATATATAAAACTTATACTTAGGTTATTAACATATGGTTTTCTCTGCTGTCAGTAGCTCTTAAATTCTTACCTAGCTTTTTTCTGTCTCTATAGAATTAAGAGACATTCAGAAAACCAATATTTGAAACTAAAGACTCATTAAGATAATCAGATCATGAGATTTTAAGGGTATAGGGAATGAGAGATCATTTACTCAAACCCTCCTTTCTGAAAGGACCAAAACTCAAAGTTAAGATCATACCTTAGGTGGTCACCTGGCCAAGTCCCATGATTCAAGTTATTGACTTAAGTATGACATGTTAGAAGACGTAGGACATGGGGCACCTGGGTGGCTCAGCAGCTGAGCATCTGACTTTGGCTCACGTCATGATCTCACAGCTGGTGAGTTCGAGCCCCGCGTCGGGCTCTGTGCTGACAGCTCAGAGCCTGGAGCCTGCTTCAGATCCCATGTCTCTCTCTCTCTGCCCCTCCCATGCTCATGCTCTGTCTCTCTGTCAAAAATAAATAAATGTTTAAAAAAAAAAAAAAGACGACGTAGGACAGTGTAACATCAGATCTATAAGGGATACAATTATTAGCCACGTTTTCTGAACGCCCGGGGAGAAATACAGGAATAACCAAACAGGAACAAACAAAACCGAAACAATAACAGAACAGGAGAAGCCTTTAGGATTGTGGAAGAGCAACTTTGGTAAGTTGTCTAGTGGCAGAAGAAGTTCTTTCACATTGAAAGAACTAGATAGCAAATATGTGTAAGGGGGAAAAAGTCATGATTCCATGATGAATTTACAGAAACTTGGGTTTGAAATGCAAACGTGGCATTATGAATCGCATTGAATTGATTACGAATTGCAAATGAATTGCAGAAGCTTTACTGAAAGTTCTTCAGCACTGTTCCCTGGGTGTTCTTTATTTGTACTTTATCATCCAGAGCCACTGTTTCCTTGGGGAAAATAAATGTAATGTACCTGTACTTTTTAGTCACAGAGAGAGACTTTTCACTTACGGAGGCTGTTACAACAGGCCGGTGCATGAGGCGCCTGGGTGGCTCAGGCGGTTAAGTGTTGGTTAAGTGTCCGACTTCGGCTCAGGCCATGATCTCATGGTTCATGGGTTCGAGCCCCACGTAGGGCTCTGTGCTGACAGCTAGCTCAGAGCCGGAGCCTGTTTCGGATTCTGTGTCTCCCTCTCTCTCTGATCCTCCCCTGCTCATGCTGTGTCTCTCTCTCTCTCAGAAATAAATAAAACATTAAAGAAATAAAAAAACAGGCCAGTGCAAGCTGGTGCATTTACAAAGTAAGGCATGGAAAGAAGAAACCGATTGCTTCAGTTTGGGGAGGTGGTTGTGAAACAGGAGGGAAAGAATCAAACTTTTTCTTTTAAGCAAAGCATGTATATGTGTTTCGTATTGTCTTGTAGAAGTCTGCTAATAAAGATACCACCAAAAGATTAGAAGCGTAATCATCTAGAGGAAATGCTGGTAATATGGCTCTGTGTAAATGTTCAAAACTGTCTACGGCAGACGGTCTTGTTTTAGGGGTAAGTGAGACTTCACTCTGATTAAATTCAGGAACATGCACTATTTCAGTTCAGCAAGGCATTGTTCTATCTGTAGAGAGGCATATTTGGTTAAGATAAAAGTGAAAATGAGCTTTTAAGGTTTTGTGTTTTTCAAGTGCACTCATGTAACCGTTGGAAAGCCATGTGGAATCAGTGTTCTTCAGACCCATGGCTTACACAAGAGGTATTTACTGGGTGCCTGCTCTATACCAAATTTGATGCATAGTTGACACACAACGTTACGTCAGTTTCAGTGTACGACATAGTGACTCCGCGTGTCTGTACATTCCGCTGTGTTCACCACAAGTATAGCTACCATTAGTCACCATACAATGCTAGTACGATATAGACTATATTACTTTTATTCCCATGACTTATTCATTCCATAACTGAAGCCTGTATCTCTCACTCCCCTTCACCCCAAGAAATGTGTTTTTTAATCCGAATTGTCTTCTACAAATTTTGACTGATCTTCTGTCTCTTCATAAACAAATATGTGCTTAGATAGAAGCATACTGACTAAACCAATATAGGTAGGGTAATAGATAAATCCCAAAAAGGAATAAAAGAAGACTTTTTTTTTTTTAACTAGGACAGAGATCCATTGGTGATCTCTTTCAATTACTGTATTGATGTCTATGCAATAAGATGATTATTAATTTGTCTCTTCACTTATAAACAGAGAGCTTAGCTGGCTTTTAATAAACACCAAGGAATTAGGAAGATCATGCCCTTTCACATCACTAGGAGAAAGGACTTCTCCACTGGATGTGAATTTTTCCTTTGAACTTGGCTGCTGTGTGGATTAATTGTCTAAGTCTCCCACCTGACTGTTAAGCAGAGATTATTAATCTCTTTGTAGTCATAGACCCCTTTGTACATAGGAAGAAAGCTCTGAATCTTCTCCCCAGATTCATGTGTATATAATAATCCTTTGCACTCGTATTTGTGGGGGAGGGAGGCCTATGACCTCCTGGAATTCCATCCATCGGCTCTAGGTTAAGAACCATTTTTAAATAAGAAAACCCATCTGTCCTCCACACACTAGCAGCCTTGCTGTCTTGTAGAGTTCTTTTCAAGCTTTGGTTACTTGGATATTTCATAGTATCATATAGGACAATGGCCAAGGAGACACTTTTTCGAGCCCACTCAACGTTTGGAAAGCCGCGTGGAATTAATGTTTTTCATACTTTGGTGCAGAGGAAATCTTAAATTCTAAATCTGTAAAACTGCATAAGATTGTTACCCAAAAAGTGGTCTTTCTATAAATGAAAATTCTCTGATGGGGTGCCTGGGTGGCTCAGTTGGTTAAGTGTCTGACTTCGGCTCAGGTCATGATCTCATGGTTTGTGGGTTCAAGCCCTGCATTGGGTTCTGTGCTGACAGCTCAGAGCCTCGAGCCTGTTTCAGATTCCGTGTCTCCCTGCCCTCCTCTCTCTCTGCCCTTCCCTTGCTCGTGCTCTGTCTCAAATAAAACAAAACAAAAAAATTTTTTTAATAAATAAATAAATAATTCTCTGAAATGTATCTCTAATATTAGCCAATTGCATTTATGTGTTTTTAGACTACTTGCTTTATAAAAAGCTGGAACTATTAAAGTTAAAACACTAAACAGTGTCCTATTAAAATTTATGTTAAAGTGAAAATAATATACCCTCTGAAATTTTTAAAGAGTAGTTAAAAAATTGATTCAATATATGAAATACCAGTCCACATATAAATTGAGAAATAAATTTACTGGCATATATTTACTTGGCTTATAATTATCTTCTTACAAATTAAAGTTGAGCAATTGTTCTCCCCTATATAGTCCATCCTCTATCCAATAGGAAAACTTGTACAAGCAAGTCTACATTGGAAATTCTTTGTATTTCTTGTTTTCTTCCCCCCCACTAGTTTTAGAGAAAGAAAGAGAGAGTGTGAGGGGGGGGGAGGGGGCAGAAGAAGAGACAGAGAATCTTAAGCAGGCTCCACACTTAGCATAGAGCCTGACACAGAGCTCCATCCCACAGCTCTAGGACCATGACCTGAGCCAAAACCAAGTGTCGGACACTCAACCGACTGAGCCACCCAGGTGCCCCTCTTTGTATTTCTGTGATGGACCCTACCTCACCCCAGCATGCTTGTGAAAAAGATACACAAGTATGCCCGGAAGGAAAAGATAAATAAAAGATGCAAATAGTGGTTCAATCTTAATAAATTACTAATGTACAAGAAACTATTAGATACATGGCCTCCTGCATGCAAATAAATTAGTAACCTCATTTTTCCTCAAATACCTTCAGTGTTTTCCTCTCATGCCATTACTCGATAAGTAAGGAAGACAGCCAGTAATAGAGTCAGATTGTCGACTTTTTTATGAGAGAATTGACCAAAATTAGTATTGAGCATTCTGATGCTCCAAGGATGGCTTATTCCTATTTGGTAAACCGCAGTACTTCCTTGGTTAGGGCTTTGTTTTTTGAGGTTAACAAGTCCAGGAAATACATGGTAAGTGCACTGCCATTTTACTTTTATCTTCCATAAAAGCATTGAATGTCTCTTATAGTTTCCCCTTATTGGAATCATATTATAAATTACATGATTTCAGTACTAATACCATTCTCTTCTCACAGGCTGTCCAGATTATGATTGGCATATTTCATGTTCTCATGTGGTATTTCCTATTGATTTTGTATATGGGACAAATCAGAGGAGTCTTTGGGACATATGAACCTGTAACTTACAAAGCAGGATGTTCTTTATGGGGAGTTATTGTGAGTAGAATATATTTATGAGATTCAATCATTCAGTAAATACTATTAATGCCACTAGTGGAAGATAGGGAACAGTTTCTAAACAGGGTTTTCGGAATTATGTAAGTAAATTCCATGTTGGTAACTTACTCAAAATCAAATTTTTTTTCAACAGATGTTTTTTGAGCACCTTTAATTTACCAGTGCTATGATAAGAGATGTGGATACAGGAGGGGATAGACCATGACAACTGCAGGTTGGATGGTCCTTAGATATGTGAAAGACAAAGAATCTTAACTATATTGTCCATTAGCATGGTTAGTTTTCATATTTAGGGACCTTACCTTCTTCACACAATGAGTCTCCACTCACACATTTTCTGATGTGTATATTCTTCTGTGGTTTCTAGCCAGCCATAAAATAATAGGAAAATCTGGAGAGTACAGCATCCTCAAACCCAAGTCAACAATTAAGGAAAGATAAACTACTGAAATCTGTTATTTTGCCAAATAGGGCTGAGAATTGACCACTGGATTTAGCAATATGGAAGCAAGCAATAAACTTAAGTACGTTCAGTTGAATGGTGGAGCAAAAACCTGACTGGAGTTGGTTTAAGAAATAAGGGGAAGATAACTAGAGACAACAAATACAACTTTAAGGAGTTTGGTGTAATGTGGTGTACAGAAACGAGGTAGGACTAGGGGAACTTTGGGTCAAGAGAGAGTTTGCTTATTTGTTTCAGTAAGTTGGAAGTATCATGTCTTTAATTGAGGGGACTGAACCAGAAGAGAGAAAATTGATATGAAATAAATAGAAGCAGGTTGGGATTATTAGAATCAGGTACTGGTGTAGGCAAGAGATGATGAATTTTAATACACAAGATAGTTAGGTCCACGGGCAGTTCATCTCCAGCAGTGGTTCTCAACAAGAGATGATTTGCCCCTCAGAAAATATTTGGTAATGTCTGGAGACATCTTTAGTTTCCACAGCTGGGGTGAGCATCTAAGAGGCAGAAGCCAAGGATATGGCCAAATGCCTCACAAACACATAGGATAGCTTCCACACAAAGAACTGTCCACCTGTAACGTAAACAAGTGCCAGATGGATAACGGGATGGAAGGGCAGAGGAACAGAAATGACAAATTTTGATTTGTAAGTAGAGGGGATGTTGGGAGCTTGTGGAACATTTCTTCCAATGGCTTCAAATAGCTCAGTGAATTAGGAAGCCAGATCATGAACTGAGAATGGGACAATAGACTGGTTGTTTGAAGAAAGGATATGAACTGGTCACCTAGAAAAAGAGAGTGCATGCATTGTGGAAAAGTAGTTGGCCTTTCACTGAGCATTGGAAGCTCATGTAAGCTTTAGGAAAATGATTTATGTAGTGAGATGGGTCAAGATGGTTCTACATCTTTCTCAGGTCATGTTCGGCCACGTGGGTGCAGGCATTTAGTAGGAAGGAGAGCTGCATTTAATCAGGATTTGGATTTAACCATCATCTGTGATCAAACAAGAACTGTGCAAAGGAGTTGAAAGTGTGTATAAGTGAGTGTAGTCGTTGACCATGGAGTTTAAACTGGTGAAGGAGAAAATATAACAGAGAGGTGAGGGGCTTGATTACAGATCCAGATGGGGTCAAAGGATTGTTAGAGTTGTGAGGCATGAGGTAGAGAGAGAGAGGCCGGTGGTCCTAGTGGATACTTTAAATTGAAATTTGAAAGATGTTACTCTTAATGGCAGAAACAAGCACAAGAGAATGAACATGGGAGTAAGTGAGAGACAGGATGAGGTCAGAGGATTGGAGAAGAGAAAGTCAAAGAACCACAAGCACAAGGTGTTAGGATTTTATGTATATAGTATATATATTATATTATTTACTATATAGAAATTACCAAAAGGTAAGAGATATGAGAGAGTGAGACAAAGAATTAAAATCATTAAGAGGAGTGACTGAGTCATCAATAGATGACTTCAACCAGGATAGATAGTGGGCAGTAGAAACTGATGATATTTGACTCAGAGCTGGATGAGAGAGAAGGGTTGAAAAGTAATAATGAAGAGCAAAGAGACCACTTTTTCTTTGCATGGAGCCAATGACATAATGGATATAAGAGAAAATGACCACCACTTGAGAGGGCTGTAGAGAAAGCAGTGCTTCTAGGAGACCCCCTGCCTTTATATGTTAGTTCACAAGTATCAATGTGTCGCTTTAGAAACAATAGAATAGTGAATTTGCAGGCAAAATGTAGACAAATGATTCATGTCCCTCAGTGTTTAATTGTACATGTTACAAAAATAGCCTGTGTAGCTCCTAGAATAAATTATCTAAAATTTCAATTAAATTTAATTTAATGCAAAACTTCTCCCTTCGATCATAAACTTTGAAAGGCATTTTGTGAAGCACATGGTTTGGTAGTCTAGCTAGAGAGCACTCTAGTTTAAAATTCACCTTTATATTCTTCCTTTCACCGTGTAACTTCCTTAGAAATCTCAGCTTTTGTTACAGAATGAAGTGCTGAGCATGCAGATTTAAGTTATCCTTCAGGATAACTAGGAGTTAGTAAACTTTAAGGTTTGGCCTTCCTGTAAATGGTATAGCATGAGTGCTGTGTTTCCACACATTATCCTTTGACTTGATCTTTGTGAAAATGCCTGAAACAGATAAGACAAAAGGAACATTTCAAGGGAATTGTGCGGCTCATCTTCAAACAATACGGCATAGCTTTACACTTCTGGAAAATAGACAGAATTACCTGGTGTAAAATAATGGAAACTCTTCTTAAAATAAAAAGGCAAAAACACGAATTGTAGCTGTTCCCTAAATAATGGCCACAGTCTCAACAGGTATATTCTGTACAAACACAATTTGGAATAGACTCATGAATCTCTTTTTTTTTCCACATCTGGATATGTATACAGTAATTTCAATGACTGGCTTCAATTTATTAGGAAGGATAGCATTCAAAAGAATAATCAGGTGAGTCCAGAAAGCATGCACAGGTAGAAGCAAACTTGGTCCCTGATGCGGGACTCTTGAAGCCATCTTTGCCATATGCCACAACTTGAATTCTGCCCACCGTCCCCCATATGCATGATGGAAACGTGTCCTGACCCCTTCCACTGAAATGTCTTCATATTTTTTTACTCTTGGTATTCTAAAAATAATTGCCTTAGAAAAGGAGTTGTTAAAAATATGTTTTAAGTTGATGAGCACCATCAATAAGTATTTATAAATATGTTTTTATACCCAGTTTATCATTTCAGGAGTGTCTGTCATAAGAGCAGCAAGGCGTCCAACCCCAGGCATGGTAAGTGGGGTTGAGGAGGCCATCCTGGAAGTCACTTGTCACTAAAAGGTTTTAGTGACTTTCTACACAATGGAGGAAGCTACCCTCCTTGTAAAATAAAGAATCAAGTGAAAATCTAGGCACACATAATTTAATGCAGACAAACATTCTATAGTGGTCAGAATCATTCTGTAAAGGTTTCTCAATTTCAATATAGGGGTTTTCTGGTTTGGTATTCTACCTTACTCTAACATTGTATGAACTTTACTAGTAGAAAAGATGTAATAGGACCTCATAATGCCTTTATATGTAGACATAATACTACTGTAAAACTTTGTTTTCCTTAACTATCTAGTTTGGGAGCAGTATTGGATCTTGTAATAAAATAGAGGATCTGTCTATGGTAGAGGTAAGATATTGGAAAGAAAAAAAAACTTTTAGAATCTTAGACCTAAAAGATACCTTAGAAATCAATGTCTGATCTCAAGTTGTATAGATAAAACTTTACATCCAAAGATATGGATGGATCCCTAGAGAATGAAAATCCGAGGTTAAAAATCATTGAATCTTATTTGACTTCTTTCTCAAAGCTGTCGTTTTCCATCTTTTTTGGGGTTTTCCTCTTTGCAGTGGAATCCCTTTTGTTCAAACCCTATCTTAATCTTTCTTTAATATGACCCAGACGATTGTAAAATACAACATTTTTGAACCCAAATGGAACACTGATGCTTATTGGTGTGATATTTCACTGTTCTCTCCAGATTAACTGGGTATCATGTAAACCAGAAAAATATTTTACTCTCATGGCAAGCATACTAACACCTCTAAACCCTCAGAAACTAGACCAGCATTTTGACTGGATGCTTTTTTGTCAGCAGTACAAACAACCAAACTTTTTATTTTGATTATAACAAACTTACCATATGTCTTCTTTACAGACTATGTTTGCTTTGATCATGAACATCTCATGCATAATTGCTTCAGCTATTGCATCAGTTCTAACAACAATTGAGTTGTCTACTTTTAATTCTGTGTCATATAGGAATTATGGACAAGCGGTGAGTGACCAGTTCCTTAGGAACGTCTTAATTTAAAACCATTCTCTTCCGAGGTTTTAAAGCCTTTGGAGGTAAAATAAAGCTTTTATTGGTCTTCATGAAATACTTTTATTTAAGTAGTAAGGTCTTGATTGAAAGTTATTTTGGATTTTTTATGTTTATTTACTTTGATAGATAAATATTAATAGAATATTTGAATTCTTGACATGCCTAGTTAAAGCAAAGCAAGTAAATAATGTGAAGGCTTCAGTGATAAGTATACATGGATTAGGCATGGGGTCACTAACAATTCTCTTAATGAAAGAAAAGTATAATCCTAGATCTTAAAACCATTCCCAAAATCAACAAAAGAATTCTGCTCACCAGTGCATTTAGTTGGAATTGTTGACACCTAGTAATTTCTGGTTTAACACAGAGCTTTTCATACATAGCCTATTTTTGTGTCTCGTATGAATTTTGCTTTGTGTCCTCAGATGCTAAATGTACATGAATCTGTCTTGCTTCGATTTAATTGAATATCCAATCGTATGCCTTGTAGCAGAGAAATAACTGCATTCCTTTGTAAGATAGTAACATTCTCCATTAAATGTGAGTTTCTTTACTGATATCCCAACTATTTGTTTCAATTGTGTTGGCTTTAAATTCAAAACCACAGAATACCAGTGCTGCAAAAGACTTTAGCAATACTTATAAAAATCTTCTGTTTCAAATGAGAACATACTAAAGTGGAGCTCCTCTTTACTTTCTTTTATTTCGGTTTTGTTTTTAATGTTTATTTATTTTTGAAAGAGAGAGAGAGAGAGAGAGAGAGTGCAAGCAGAGGAGGGGCAGAGAGAGACAGAGACACAGAACCTGAACCAGACTTCAGGCTCTGAGCTGTCAGCACAGAGCCCAACACGGGGCTCGAACCCACAAACCGTGAGATCATGACATGAGCCGAAGTCGGAAGCTTAACCAACTAAGCCACCCACACGCCCCTCCTCTTTACTTTCGAACAACAGAACAAAAAATAACAATTTGAAAGTTTTAATTCAAAAATAATTCTAATGAGAAGAGTCACTGTGGATGAGAGATAAATGTCCTACTCCCCAACCCCCCTCTCTACCTGCACTGTATAAAGGGACCTCCAGTGCTGACCTGGACTCGGTATTAACGATCAATTTCACAGGCTCCCAAACGCACAAGTTTCAGTTTGCTGTGATTAATTACATGAAATGAACTTATAGATCAGACCTACATCTCTAACCCACAGTCTTTTCCTGGAGGTATTATAGAATTCGACTCCTGCATTTACCAAGGCAGCCAACATTTTACAGTATTTTCCATATGCCAGCGTTTCTAATATAAGCAAGTTGCTTGTCTAACCCCACAAACTTATCAAGTTATCAGTGTTTCTAGGTAGGTTCAGCTATCCCCAAAAGTGCATGCCTCTGAAACAAACTTCTCAGACAGGAAAATGGTTGCGGGTATACATCGGAACGAAACTGACTTCACCCAGACGCTACCTTCAGTCCTCATTGGGTGTGGCCCTGTGGACAAGTTTCCTCACTTCCTGTTCCTCAGTTTCTTTATGTGTCAATAGAACAAATGATAACACATACCTATTAGTTACGCTGATGGTTTGTCTCCCAGACTCCAGGCCTGTTATTTTAATATCTCATATGGATATGCTTCTGTTGTCAAACAGAATTTCAACAGATATGAAATGGAAAATACTTGCCTCCTCAAAAGTACTGTGCTGCACGACTCCCTTATTTCAGCCTCTGGAGCTTAAAAAAACCTTGATGTAATCCTGTACACTTCTCTCTCCACTATCTTCCCAGTGACTAAGTATTATTTATTATTTACTGTAATTTTTATTAATTAGGGATCTCTGTGATCCCTAATGATCCCTCTGTGACAGGAACTACAACCCAAATTGATTTAAGCAGGAAAAGGACACAATTGATTTATGTGGGATTCAAAGGCTGAAATCACATGTCAAGAATTCAGTCACTCTCTCTCTCTGCTGTTTGACTGTTTGAACTTCTCTGGCAAAAAGCGGGGAGAATTTGTCTGAGAATAACACTTAACACATATAAATTGAGGAACGTGGACAAAATCTTGGCAGCTAAGAGGTCACCAGTACTTCCCAGCTAAAATGCTATGCCTGTGTTCCTGCCAACAAAATTAGATCAGAGTTCTGGTAAGGTAACCTGTCATTTCTTTTTTTTTTTTTTTTTTTTTGTTGCTGTTATTTCATTTTATTTTATTTTATTTTATTTTATTTATTTATTTATTTATTTATTTTTACAAATAGTTTATTGTCAAATTAGTTTCCACATAACACTCAGTGCTCAAGGTAACCTGTCATTTCAAACCCTCTATAGTCTTTATCTTCCCGTGAACATCATGCACTCCCTACACCCGAGTTAAATTCCCTTCATCATTTTCTTACTATATGGTCAGTCTTGCATTCAAGTTTTTGCTCACATGATCAAAACATAGGTCATGTGATATGTATTTTGGCTTTATTATTGTTTCTATTTTATGTCTCCATTTCTTAATTATTTTGTCACACTTGTAATGTGTACTATTACATTTTTTCTGAAACAAGATAGGTTACAATGAAACTAGTAAATGAAAATTTGAAGGTTTCTAGAACATTGCATCCCTCCTTCATTTTCTCCCTACTCTTATTTCCAGTGTCTTAGCTCTTAATGAAGCCTTCCTAGATATGAAAGACTTAGGGTAAACCTCCAGTCCCCTAAAATTACTCAGCAAATTTTTTGTCCATTTTGACATATTTAACCTTATCACCTTTTACCTTAAATTATGTTTCTCTCTTTTCTACTTAAATATAAACATTGAGAAAACTGGAATTTTTGGTCATTTCACTCTTACCATCTAATCCCTACCATCTAATAGTTTCTTGCATCAAAGGTATCAAATAAACTGAACAAAAACAGAGAAGAAGGAAGAGAAAGAACTGAAGGAGAGAATATTGTAATGTTATTCTTTCTATGTCTGCATATCATTCTTGTCTTTCTACAGCCAGCACAAAAACTACATTTATTTTCGGGATTAGGACCAATATCATTCATCCTGATATGTAGTTGAAAATATCTTTCTGACAGCAACATAAGGGACCTGCTTTATTATCCCAGCAAAATCATAATCACCTTATACTTCCAAGTGAGATGGTATTTGAGGGTTTATTCATCCTTCCACATCATGTTCCAGCAATTACTATGTGATATTTTTATCAACGCACATATACATTTAAGTAGGTCTGTAATTAACAGTAGTCATTTTAAAACATGAGGATTGGTTGATAAAATCTTGTAGTAGCCATCTTATCATTGGTGACAGAAGAGTCAAATCCTATTGACTGAAGGGTTTGGAGACTCATGTCGTGATGAGAATAGCAAGAATGAAGAGTTGTGAGAAGTAAGACTAGAACGCTGAGTGATAAAGATCGAAAATGGAAGCTGTAGATAGTGAACTGGGGGAATTAAGGCTAGGAAAAGTGGAGTCAAGGAAGTCAAATGGTGACAGCAGCTTATTTATTTTGCCTATTTTCCTTGACTCTTATAGTAGAAACTCTTTCTGTGGATGTATTTGAGCTTACTAAAGATAATAATGCAAGATTTCCCCCTATTTCCTGGTTTCAGAAACTTGGAAGGGAAGTTTCACGTATTTTACTGCTGTCTTACCCCTTGGAGATTTCTGTTGCACTAGTATACTCTGTCTTCAACTGTATTGGTTTGGTAAGTGTACATCTGCTCTCTGACAAATCAAGAGATGTGGATTTCTAGCACACACATTCTATAAAGAGATGATACAATATGTTCGAACTCATGAAACTTGAATATGTGACAATATTTCTTTAACATTTTTCCTTAATATTTATAGTTATCAAAGTAATACCTGAAACTCTCGGGTAAAATTAGAGAGTAAACTGTTATTGTCCTCATCATATCCACACATCCAGATCCACACAAAAAAGACACAACACACATGCAGACCCGCACATGCAGTTTTCTTTTTTACTAATTGTGTGATCCTATTCATATTGCTTTGTCACATGCCTTTTCCTCAACTGTCATAAACTTACCTTTCCACGATAAAACAAGGCCTTTTAGTAGCACCATACTTTTCCTTAGTATTTATTTCAGCTATTTTTGCTGCATATTTGCTTTTTTCCAGTTTTTTAAAAATTACAAACAGTTATCTTTGCATATAAGATTAGTATTTCTGTAGGTAGTTGATTCCTAGAAGTGTCATCACAAGTTTGGTATCCCAAAATGCCGTCATAATCCACAGTACTACAGAAGTTCTTGAGAATGATTAGTTTCTCACAAGCTTAAAAAAACTAGGTACCTACATTCATTCATTCTTTCACAAACATTTATGGAGGGCCTACTCTTTACTAGGCATTAAATAGGCACTAAGAATGTAATGATTAACAAGACAGCATCCTTACCATCAGGAAGCTTGCATTTCAGTGGAAGAGAAAGACAATTAACAAACTATATATATATATATACATATATATATACACATATATATGTACAAACAAACATATGTATATGTATATATGTGTATATGTATACACATATTTATATATTATATTAATTTTATATTATAGTATTATATATATAATATATATAGTATTATATATATAATATATATAGTATTGTACATTTATATATTATATTAATACTATGTGTCTATATCTATTTGTGTATATTATATAATATACAATATATTATAATACACAATATATATTACAATACTATATTCTTGAGTATTTGTATATATATTATATATACGTAATATATATAAATAATTTAAGGAAGTGGAAAGTGTTATGGACCAAAATGAAGCAGAGTAAAAAGACAAAGCAAAGATTATTTTTACATAGGATAGTAAGGAAAGGTTTCCATGCAGGGACTAACTGAAGTGCAGAAGGAACTAAGAGACTACATGGAAAAAAGTTTTCTAAGCAGAGGAATGGGTGCGGCTTCCAGAACAGTTGAGTGAGGATATAGTAAAGCTCCCTAAAAATAAATGCTAAAACTGGACAAACTGTCAGTAAACAATCTTTTAAAGATTCTGGAAATTTACCAAGGCATAAAAAATATTGAGAAGTGTTTACTGAAGGAAATTTACTAAACCTCACCGAGAACAGTGGGGGTCTATGACATTTTAGTTTGGTGCTGCTCCAGTTCCGCCCAGCCTCCGCTCTCAGGTTCCCTTTTGTAGAAGTTTATGTGGGTGGGTCAGACTGTGAGGATTGGTTTTTATTTGGATTAGAGTACAGAAAGTTTCCTGAGCAGGGGTGTTATTAACACAGTAGTCATCTTAGGGGCCAAAAATCTAGGAAAGCCAATATAATGCCCAGCCTAACTGAGCTCATAATACTTGTTCAAGTAGGAAACTGATTGGCATCCAGCCAGAAATTTAGCATGGAGATTCTGAGAGCAAGAGAGCCACAGTGGGCCTTGATAACATCCTACATATCCTTGTTTCCTGGAAGATTAAAAGTGTGCATGGGGCTAGGCTACGCATGCGTTAGGACACTGGAGAGGGTCCTAGTGAACTACTCACCCCTGGCTGAATAAGACACCTTACAAACACAAATTAAAAGCTGGGGCAGATTTACAAACAGCCTAAACTTTGAATACACTGATTCATTGACGAAGGCTGGAAATAAAGAGCATCAGGTAAAGGTGATTACACAGATGACTATAAAAACAATATAAATATATCTTTTGTGTGTCTCTTAACTGATTTAAAAGACAATTGCATAAACTGCATTGGGCTCGCCTACACAACCAAAAATAATCTCCTTTTTTTAAAGTCACGCTATTATCAGCCTTAATTCCATCTGTCACAATGACTGAGCTCCAACTCATAGCGTGAAAGCCGCCATAGACACTATATAAATGAATGGATATGGCTTTACTACAATAAAACTTTACAAACCAGGCAGTGGGTCAAATTTGGTCCACATGCCGTAATTTGACAACCCTTGTTCTATAGATATTTATTTTCTCCTTTTTTTCTGAAATTTTAAGAAATAAGTTCACAAAATCAGTAATTATAACTCTATCGTTGAGTGTATGACATGTAGGTGTAGTATGACAATAATGGCACAAAAGAAGGTGGAAGGAACCGAGCTATAAGAGAACATAGTTTCTATATTTTACTGGAATTAAATTAGCATTCATCTGAAACTGATTGTGATAAATTAAGATGTACATTGTAGGGGCGCCTGGGTGGCTTAGTCGGTTGGGCGTCCGACTTTCGCTTAGGTCATGATCTCGCGGTTCATGGGTTCGAGCCCCGCGTCGGGCTTTGTGCTGACAGCCAGCTCAGAGCCTGGAGCCTGCTTCAGATTCTGTGTCTCCCTCTCTCTCTGACCCTCCCCTGCTCACGCTGTCTCTCTCTCTCTCCTAGAAATAAATAAAACATTAAAAAAATTTTTTAAAAAAGATGTACATTGTAATTCCTAGACTAATGACTAAAAACACTGAAAAATTATAATAAAATAAGATCAACAAAAAAATTAGGATAATATACCGAAAGTATTAACAGGTAAGGGAGGAACATAAAAGAACACAAGACCTATAGACAACAAATAGCAAAGTATTAGACACAAATCCAACCATTTCAATAATAACCTTAAACTAAAACTGCACTGAGATATTAAATTTCCTAACAGAATGATTAAAATTCAAAATACAATTCTAACTAATGATAATGACTATGGATAAAAGAAATCTTTCACTCCTACTTGGAATATAAATTATTACAACAACTTTGGAAACTTTTGGGGCATTATTATGGAAAGTTGAGATGTACATACCTGATCAGTAATTTTAGTTCTTAGTATATACCCAACAGAAATGTGTGTGGGTATGAACTAAGATATACTTCCAGGAAAATATCAATATTAATTGAGGTATGTTACTCTAATAAAATTCTACATAGTAATTAAAATGAATCGTACCTATACTTAACATGGATGATTCTCATATATATAATGTTAAGTATAGAAAGTCAGACTCAAAGAATGCATCCTTTATGATGTATGATGTTTGAAAGCAGGCGAAACTAAAGCTGATGTTTATAATGTTTATGGAGGGATGCAAGCCAGTAAAAGTAGAAAAAAATGATGAATTACTGAAAGTCAAAATGACAGTTACTTTGGGAAGGAAGAAATGGGTAATAATTGGGAAATACCATAACAAGCTAACTTGCAAGGTGCTGGCATCTCTTCATTTTCAAGAATATTTTGTTGTTAAAGTCTGGATGTATGTCAAAAGATACCACTGTATGGTAGAAATTAAGAGAATGGGTTGAAGTAGAGTCGGGACAGAAAGAGGATAAATGGAACTTTAACATTTTAGTCTATGAACATCAGTACTGCTTATATTTTTTTTTTTTAAAAACTAAGTATTATATGTATGATCTTAGGAGGCATGATATGATTTATATGAAGTTAATTTTTTTTTCAGAGTCATCATGAAGATACTCTCACAGCTGTCACAGAGGAAATTGAGAGTACTTTCTAGAAACCTTAGAAATGTGAGATTTTCCCTGGTCCTCATACCTGCTCTGGGCCCTAATGATATCTCTGTATAACACAGCTGCTACAAAGCCCGCATATTTTGTGCAAAAGAAAATACAAAACAAGTTGGATTTTTCTTCTCAGTATTCAAGAAATTCCTCTGCACATATTTTTGTAGGTTCCACGTAGAAAGCTTTTCCCTATTGAAATATGTTATTATGATGGGAAAAAAGTATTTTCTAGGTACTCTCAACCTGTCAACCTGTCTTAACTCTGAAGCTGTCAACTCTCCCTGAGAGAGCTTTTGTAAGAGACCATAAAACAGGTCTGTGACTGTCTCTAGGGTACAGGCTATAAACACGTGGCTCATGATACTACGTATTTCTCGAGAAAAACTTAAAATATTTATACCCCTACAAGTAAAGAGTACATTTCAGTATGAGTTCTTCTACCTGAACTAGCTTCTACTCGAACAAAGTACGAATCCAAAGTCCTTCAACTCATAGTCCCTTCATTGTTCTTCTTTGACTGTTTCTCTCATTAAAGTTCCTTTCTGCCCTGAAAGTCTCTGCTGTCTTTCTTCCCTTTCATTTTCCTTGTTTCTTTATTTCTTACCGTTGCCTGGATCATCTGTTCAATTGCTTTTCAAAGTGAACAGGCTGCTTTTCCATAATCAGGAGAACCTCCCAAGAATCTGTTCTGAATTCACATTCCCCCCTCTCTTCTAACAGGAAACAGCACTACAGAAAGCCTTGCTCAGCGGTATCAATCATGCCAGTGAGTTCATGTAGCTCTCTTATAAATGTGCTGCTGTTTTTTGTTTGTTCTCTGCCTTGTCTCTCAGAAGGTTTCATCAATTATTATAAAAAGAATTCATGGGTCTAAGAATCTCAATTCAACACAGATTGAGTGTATTCTGTGTGCTAATGATTATATTAAACTCAGGAGTATCAAAGATTAATAAGAGACCTCACCACAAAGAGTTGTTTTGTTTTGTTTTAGGAGAAGAAACAAACAGGTAACAAATCCAGACTATGCAGTGTGATACATGTATTAACACAAGTATGAAAAAAATGAAGTAGAACAGAAGAGATAATGATCCTTCTGTTGGGAAATAAGAGGAAATAAAGCTTTATGAAGGACATGGCCTCTGAGCAGGGGATTAATTGTAGCTTATGAAGCAGATTGGAAGGTGGGAAGACATTTCAAATGAGATTAGCTCATGCAAAAACCAAAGTGTGAAAAAGATCATAGTATATTCTAATAGCTAAAATAAATATATATCATTAAAACACAATGACAAAAAGGAATAGGTCACGTAAAAGTTGGAGAGGGAAGAAGAGGCCAGATACTAAGTCAAATCATCAAAGATTGATGACTAAATTCTATTGAACTATATCTTGAAGATAGTGGGAAGCCATTAAAGAGATTTTAAGTAGGGAATGACTGGATTGGTTTTATTTTTTAGAAAAAAGAATTGAATAGGGAGAAATGCATTAAAAAGGATAAACTTGATAAGAACAGCTAGGGTGTGGGAGAGAGTAATGGAAACTATTGCAACGATTCAGACAGGTAATGAGAAAGAGGGTAAGTTTTAGCTATAACGACTGATTAAACATAGGTTATGAAGGAGAAAAAGAATCTAAAATACTCCCCCTCCCCAGTTTCTGGATTGAGTGATACCTACAGTGATACAAAATGTAGAAGACACAGCAGATTTGAATCATCTGATAAGTTCTATTTTTGGATAAATTGAATTTGAGATAACTATGAGACATTAAAGTAGATCTATTAGGCAGTTCAAAATACATACTTGGGAGTTGAGTAAAGGTTAACTATATAGAGGTTAATTTTGGTAGTAGCTAAAAATATGGAAATGAGAGTTTCCATTTTCAGCAATTAAGGATTAGTTTCTTGCAGCCCAAGCCTCCTACAAAGAACTCAACAAAGGCAAGCCAAAATTTTAAAACACCATCTGTTCGAAGATACCTGAGATCTAGGATTTAAGGGAGCTGGGATTTAAGGAGCTAAGATTCCAGAGTTGAAAACAAGACACAATCCAAGCTTTTGGCATAGCTTTTCTGCCAGATACATTTTCGGAATCACAAACAACAGATGGGAGGTTAAGAAGCTCAGAGGAATTTCCAGTGTTCTTTTGGGGTGTGAAGACTTGGAGCTCAGGCTCACTGAAGAGTGAGAAACTCATAAACACCCAGAATTTTACGTTGTGTACCCTACAAGGGTTATATCCTAACAGTAAAGGTGAGCAAAAATGGGCCATCCCCCTCATAGGCTGATGCTGAGACCCAACCACCTCAGTTCCAGATTGCCTAAAGTGAGCTTCTCTAAATCTAACATTCTACCAACACAAAAATTTCAAGAGGAAAATAGTATTATTCTGAGTATCAAGTTATCCCTATAGTTTTTCATTCACAATGGGGATTCAATCAAAACCAGAATTTAAAAAAAATGAAATCCAAGGGACACCACAGATAGATCCATATAACAGAATTATAAAGTCTTAAATAAGATTTCGGCAGAGAAATGAAAATTATAAAAAAGAAATGGAAATGAGAAATGACATAACAAATTAAGATCTACATATATGAATGTAACAGCTATTAAACATAACTGAAAGAAACAAACATAACATAAGGAAATCAGTGAGCTAAAAGAAAAACTAGAAGGAAAAATCAGACTGAAGGATTGACAAAACTATTGAAAATGCAATGTGGGGAGTGGAAAGAGTAAGAGACATATGGGATTGATGAAAAGTTCTAATACCATGTATTTGGGATTTCAGGAGACTAGAGATAAAAGCAAATAAGTAATATTTGAACAGATTATATCATGGGAATCTTTCCAAGTTGATTTAAAAATAACAAATCATAGGTTGGCTCAGTCAGTTAACCATCCAACTTCGGCTCAGGTCATGATCTCTGTGCTTGTGAGTTCAAGCCCCACATCAGGCTCTGTGCTGACAGCTCAGAGCCTGGAGTCAGCTTCACATTCTGTCTCCCTCACTGTCTCTCTGCCCCTCCCCCACTCACACTCTGTCTCTGTCTCTCTCTCTCTCAAAAATAAACATTTAAAAAAATACTGTAAAAAAACAACAACAAATCATGGATTCAAGAAGGGTTATGATCCTAAATTGAGTAAATATAAAGAAACCTACATCTAAGGACACATCATAGTAAAACTGCAAAAAACAGCCACAGAGAGAACAGTCTTAAAAAGTAAACAAGGTGAAAAGACAGTTTACCTTCATAGAACAGCAATAAAAAAGAATGGTAGCCCACTTGTTAACAAATGCCAAAAGTCATCAACATTGAATGGAAAGTTCAGTAAGTGTTCTTAAGACAAAAGGGAAAGGATCCCACATGGAAACTTAAAGAAATAAGAAGGGAAAAAGTAAAATGAAATAGGATAAACACCTGAGTAAAGATAAATGAACATGACCATATAAATAATTTCTAGGCATACTAACATATATTTAAAAGAGAACTTAAATTGCACAAGACAGGTGATAAATAATTAATGTGTTCTAGGGCCTTTGCCTCGTCTGGAAAACAGTAAAGAACTAATTTATAACATCCCTTAATAAGTTGAGGGAGGGTGGATGTTGTAATCTCTTAAAGAATAATAAAAGATTGTATAGCAACCTAATAGTTTATAAAACTGAAATAAAAATTTGTGAGAAATCCAAAAGAAGGCAGGAAAGGAAAGAAAAGAAATAGAGGTAGACAAACTAGAATTAGGGTAAATATTAAAGCAAGAAAAATTCTTAAGATGAAGAGAAAATTTCATCAAAAGTGTCAATCCATCAGAGATATAATTCTACATTTAAATGTAAATACTGACACTCATTAAAATACATAAAGCAAATGTTGAACTAAAATGATGAATGGACCATCCATGATTATACTGGGAAGGTTTTCGTAACTTTTCTCAGTAATTGATGGGAAAAGCAGACAAAAAAATCAGAGTATAGGTTTGAATAAAACATAATACTATCCACCCACCTGGATGGCAAAAATAAAATAAAATAAAATAAAATAAAATAAAATAAAATAAAAGAATGATAGAATCAACTCTTTTAGATCATTTGGAGAACCGGTTACTTATATACCCTGCTTGTAGAAATACATAAATTGTTAGAGCCACTTGGGATAACAGTTTGAGAATATATAATACTAGAAACTCCATTCCTAGGTTTATAGCCTGAAAACTAGTATATATATGTTCAACAAAAGACAAGATTCATAGAATCAGTATTCCAAAGCCCAACTGAAAAAAATCTAAAATTCCAATCCAAATACTCGTCAACAATAGAATGGATTAATGTTTAACAAAAATATCAAACACAAAGTATTATATACTTCAGGACTCAGTTTGCTTAAAGATCATAGCAAATAAAAGACCTTTTGGAAGTCAATATAGTAGTAACTTTTCACAAGAAAGAATGGATATTAAACAACACACTTCTTAATAATCCACAAGTCAGACAAGAAGTCTCTAAGGGAATTTTTTAAAAACCATTGCATTTTTACACATTAACAATGACCTAACAAAGAGAAATAAAAGAATCCCATTTATGATAGCATCAAAAACAAAATACTTAAGAATAAATTTAACCAAGGTGGTGAAAGATGTGTATGCTGAAAACGTTAAAATTGAAGAAGACACAAATAAATGAAAAGATTCCCCATGTTCTTGGAAGGGAAGAATTTATAGTGTTTAAATATCCATACTATTGGAGCGCCTGGATGGCTCAATCAGTTGAGCGTCTAACTCTTGATTTTAGCTTAGGTCATGATTCCAAGGTTGTAGAATCAAGCCCTGTGTTGGATTCTATGCTGAGTGTAGAGCTTGCTTAAGATTCTCTCTCTCCCTCTGCCCTTCTCCTTGGTTTATGCATGCTCTCTACCTCAAACACTATATATGTTTCGGGGCACCTGGGTGGCTAGGTTGGTTAAGCATCCAACTTCGGCTCAGGTCATGATCACACGGTTTGTGGATTCAAGCCCCGCATCAGGTTCTGTGCTGACAGCTCAGAGCCCGGAGCCTGTTTCAGATTCTGTGTCTCCCTCTCTCTCTGCCCCTCCTCCACTCGTGCTCTGTCTCAAAAATAAAAAAACAACAAAAATATATATATATATATTTCCATACTACTTAAAGAGATCTGCAGATTCAATGCAATCCATCAAAATTCCAATGGTATTTTTCTAAGAAATAGAAAAAACTACCATTTAATTCACATGGAACCACAAAAGACCACAAATAGCCAAAGCAATCTTAAGAAAGAAAAACAAAGTGAAGGCATCACACTTCCTGATTTTAAGTTATATTAAATTATACATATATCCTCTACTTTTGTCCATCTTTTGTCACTTTGCTTTTACAAAAGACCTACATTAGTGCCTGTTTTCACTAACAAAGAAATCCAAAGAAGGAATTTGCTTCAACTAAAAAGGACAAAAAGTGAAAATAATGTTTAGCATTTGTTTTGCAGGGAGCCATTATAGAGGCATTGTGCATCCTGAGCGGTAACAGAAGCCATGTTCCTTCCCCAGAGAAATATACTTAGCATCTCAGCATCAAGCCACCATAAAGTTGAATGGTGTCTGTGAGCATCTGTGCTTTGTCTCGATTTATTTTGTGCATCCATTAACAAGATGTATCCTAAAGTATCAGAAAAGCCTAAGAGATTATTTTCAGGGTCTGGGAACATTCAAAATGTGTTCCATGTAAGTGGATGGTGATTATTTCTTTGCTTTATACCATTTTGGCTTAGGAATTAAAATAGTGTGGTACTACTAGCATTAAAAAAGACATAGACTGATGGAATAGAATGGGATAACGGAAATAAATCTTCACATATTTGGCCAATTGATTTTTGACAAGGTTGCCGAGACCATCCAGTGGGGAAAAGACAGTTTTTAACAGATGATGCTGGGAAAACTGGATATTCACATGCAAAAGAATGAACTTGGATCCTTACCGTATATCATATACAAAAATTAACTCAAGGTAGAACAAGACCTAAGTTTAAGAGATAAGACTATAAAGTTCTTAGGAAAAAATACTGTAGAAATTTTTCATGACAAATTTTTCAACAATTTCATCTGGGTACAACACCAAAAGCACAGACAACAAAAAAATAAATTGAACTACATTAAAATTAAAATCTTTTGTGCATCAAAGGACACTATAAAAAAGTGAAAAAAAAAACAACCTACAGAATGGGAGAAAATATTTGCTAATTATATATATGACAAGAGATTACTATCCAGGATATATAAAAATTCCTATGACTCAACAACAAAACATTCAATAATGGGCAAAGGATTAATAAAAACTCCTCCAAAAAGGTACAGATGGTCAATAAACATAAGGAAATATGTTTAACATCACCAATTATTAGTAAAATGCAAATCAAAACTACAATGATCTACCACTTCACACACACTAGACTGGCTATTATTTAAAATAACAAATGTTGGTGCGTATGTAGTGTTGGAACACTTGTGCTTTGCTGATGGGAATATAAAATGTAGTCTCTGGAGAGCAGTGGAATTAAACAAAAAAATTAAACAGCCTTACCATACATTCCAGCAACCCCACTTCTAGGTGTATATCCCAAGAAATTGAAAGCAGGGACTCAAACAGATACATATAAACCAATGTTCAAAGCAATAGGATTCACAGTAGGCAAAACATGGGAACAACCTAAGTATTCATCAACAGATGAATGGATAAACAGAATGCAATCTGTACATTCAATGAAATAGCATTTAGTTTTACAAAGAAATGAAATTCTGATGCATGCTGCAGCATGAATGAACCTTGAGAACATTATGCCTAGTTAAATATATAGACATAGAAAGATAGGGAAGACTGGGTGGCTCAGTCGATTAAGCATCTCACTTCAGCTCTGGTCATGATCTCACGGTTTGTGGGTTCGAGCCCCACGTCGGGCTCTGGGCTGACAGCCAGCTCAGAGCCTGGATCCTGTTTCAGATTCTGTGTCTCCCTCTCTCTCTGACCCTCCTCTGCTTACACTGTCTCTCTCAGAAATAAATTTTTAAAAATCATAAAGAAAAATATTGTATGATTCCAATTACTAAAGGTATCTAAAATAGTGAAAATCATAAAGGCAGAAAACAGAATAAAGATTACCAGGCACTAGAAAGGGAGAATAGGGGAAGTTATATTTTAATGGCTATAGAGTTTATGTTGGAGATGATGAAAAAGTTTTGGCTACAGGTAATGGTGATGGGTATATAGCATTGTGAATGTATTTAACGTCACTGATTTATACACTTACAAATGCTTTAAATGATAAATATTATGTATATTGTACCACAATTTTCTAAAAAGATAATACAATGAGCTTTTAGATTTTAATATAGGTGAATATCTTCATGATCTTGAGGCAAGATTGTGGTCTATTCTATATATGAAAATGGCATGTCCCATCAAGAAACCCAGGTCCAGCAATCCAAACGTCCACAAGAAACCAGGTATCAATCTTTACAAAATAGTGGCCAGATGATATCTTAGAAATCCCAAGCCTTCTATAAAGGCCCTCAAAATCAGAATTAAGAAACCAAATCACAGAATTAGTCAAACAAAAGCCCTTAAAATTTGTAAACTAAATTGGTAAGTTTAGTTTAAGAATCTTTCTAATTGTAATTTCTGAAGATAATGAAAATAGAAGGGACCCTAGGGAAGAATATCATTTAAGACCAAAATATAAGGCCATGCAAGGGAGTCCACAGGAGTCCAAAGAGAACTAGGAGTGAATCAAGTGTTGGAAAGTAAGGAAAGAGATCAATAAGTGGCATAAACAAACAAAACTACAATTGTTTTAACCATAATAACTTAAAATAACTGTTAATTATGTATTTCTAACCCTTACGATTAACACTTAAACATAGTTTCTAATACTGCCAAGCCACATTTATACTATTTTGACTAAAAACAAATATTCCTGGGGCAGCTGGATGGCTCAGTTAGTTGGGCATTGGTCTCTTGATTTCAGCTCAGGTCAGGATCCCAGGGTCCTGGGATCAAGCTCTGCATCCGGCTCCAGGCTGAGTGTAGAGCCTGTTTGATAGTCTCTCCCTTCCTCTTCCCTTGTCCTGCGCTAGGCATGGGCACTCTCTCTCTCCTGAAAAAATATAAATAGATGACAGATAGATGGCAGATACATGATAGATAGATAGATAGATAGATAGATAGACAGATAGATAGATGATAGATAGATAGATAGATAGATAGATAGATAGATAGATAGATGATAGATAGATAGATAAATAGATAGAGGTTCTTAATGGTACCTGGCCCCATGGAGATGGCCCTAAAATTAGGATTCCAATCTATTAGTTGTTGGGAGCTGATTACAACAAATTTTAAGTTTGTTGATTTCGGTTTTCAGGGTAAGTGAATGTGGGAGGTACACAGAACATAGATGATTTAATTGTGCAGGAAAACAATCTAAGGAAGAGGGTAGATAAATATTTTGTCCCCAAGCATTCATGTATCTGATGGAACGGAGAGTTAAGGACCAAAGCCCAGGTTTGCCGACCAGTACTCTTTCCACTACACTGTGTCGAGATTAAAGGTTGAAAGACTTTCGCTGACACTAACCCAGCAGAAAAGTGGAGATGAGGACAATGGTTTGATGGGGAGGTCTCAGCGGAGGCGGTCAGGGGATCGGGAACGGCCCGGATCCGTGGTCAGAGCGCCACGCTAGCCCAGGCAGGAGAAGGTTGGCCTGTGCCACTCTCTCCCCTCCGCTCCGCATCTCAGGCCCAGCCGGTGTCCTGGGAGCCTGCGCTCGGCAGAACTGGGAAGGCCCCGCCGTGCAGGGGTCCCCTCGGGGCCCCTCGCGCTGTGCCCACAAGCCACGCTCTTGGCTCCAACCGCAGCGTTAGGACCCCGCGAGGGGAAATGAGGGGCGCCGCTGAAGAAGCGGTGCCCACTGGGCAAGTGCTGCCCAAAGGACTCCCGGAGCTGGACGGCACTGAACTAAGGCCACCACCTGTGAGATCAAGCCCCTCTGGCCCTGTAATCAAGTGCCCGCAGGGATCCATGGTCCATGGGGACCACTCTGAGAACAGGTGTTCCCAGTGCTAGCTCTGGTTTGAGTTTCAGTTCTCTGCCAATTTCTCTTATTTGCCTCCCCCTCTCCCCCAATTCAATACAATCCTACGGAGTTGGTTTTTGTTTTTGTTTTTTTGCTGCGTTTTGTTTGCTGCTGAGGAAACAGCCTTTGAAAGAATAAGGGACATGGGCAAGGCCACGTAGGAACTGGTAAGGACAAAATTTGAACTTCAGCTTGACTCTTTCCATTATACCTTTCTACATTTTCTCAGTTTCAAGCGCTGACAGGCAGTGTCAGGGGCAACTCAAAGCCATAAGATTTCCCGGTTTGTGTAAATGGAAGGGAAAGTTTATAAGTGAGGAATATAAAGACAGGTCTTAGACTTCAGGTATGGTTATGGATAAGAGGCTGAAGAAAAAAAGAAGAACCATAAGACACTGGAGATCCTGGAAAGCAGATTCCCAAAACCGTGTGAGGAAAGTTAGAAGACAAGGCCATTTAAAAAAATAAAATAGAAGAACCTTTACTGCAAGAAACAGAAACTATCTCTTACTAGTTTGAGCACAATGACGATCTATTTATCATAATATGTGAATAGATATGTTTACATAATGTAAGGGCAAGAAGTCAACCAGTTTTCCAAAAGAAGCTGGAAGGGGAAAATTAAAAGCCATCAGAAACTCAGGAAGTTCTGTTCCTTCTCCATCTCTTCATTTCTTTGGGTGTCCTTTCCACTTACCTCACTCTGGAAACTCACCTTCTCTCTCCCACTTTGTCCATTAGGCTGATGCGTGACAAACCACTCTCCCCAAGGTTTTCTATCTTCTCATCAAGAGACCAGCCCAAACAACCCAGGAAAGAGTATATACTATGAACCCAATTTAAGTTAGACTAAGCTCACATTTGACCCGATCAGCTAGGGTCAAGGGAAAATCCTCATGGATGTTAAATATGCAGTCTAGAGAGGAGTGATAGAAGTTAATATAGAAATCTTAAAGGTTGTCCACAATTTTAATGGTAGCTGTCTTTTCTTTTTAATTGTCTTATGTATTGAACACCTCCCTTGCATTTTTGTAGATCTCTAACTTGTGAAGCTCACCTTTCTAAACTAGAATATATGACATTTTCTTTTTCAGCTTCCCTTGCAACCAGTATAGGCATGTGGATAGATTCTGCCAGTCAAGTACCCATGGACCAGATTTTAATTTGGTGAGAAATAGCGTGGAGTAAGGGAACAAAGCATAGCAAACAAAAGTCCAGTTTCCCTGACATCATGAATGTGGGGATATGGGTAATTTCTAGAGGGATTGATGGATCAGGGAAGCCACCCCATAACAATTTGCTACAGTCCAATTTCAGGTTGGCAAATTAATAAAACTATTTGAGAAATAATTATTGGATTTTTTTCCAAGATAGCACCCTTGATGGTTTGATGAAAAACATCTCTCAGGGGACTACAAAACTGAAAAATTAGCAACTCTAGACATAGATTTTCCTCTTAATTTTAACCCAAGAAAATAATTAATATTAACTTGTCCTCATATTTTCCTGCAGAAAAGAAACACATTTATCTTCCCATTTCTCTATTGTATCTTAGTGAAAAATGCCAAGACGTCATCAGCGGATAAGACAGGAAACAAGATTGTTGGGGGTAAGAGCAAATTGCTTCTAGAACAAATAAGTGACTGTAGCCTTGCAGTTTCTAAATGCAAAACTGAGGAGATGTTAACCACCTCTCTTATGAACTTTCCAAATGAAGGAGAGTTGATGGTTATGTAATGCCTGCATTTTCCACATACAAGCTGATCATATAAGCTGTATATCAGGCTGAAGTTGAATAAAGCAGAGATTATTAATGTGCTACATTTAAATAACTGCAAACCATTACAGCCTAGTCATACTCCCAGAAAAATATACTCTGAGTCTGGAAATGCGTAGAAAATCCCTTTTGGGCATCTAGAAATTATTTCATGCTAAGCTAATGATAACATGGCCCCAAATGAGATGGTCAGATTATAGAAATTATATTCAAGAGAAGCTGCTTTGTGGAGTATGACCACAGTGGCACTATGTTCTTGACTTCATCCCTCAGACATGCCACCGTTTTCTGAATCAGCTCCCATAAAATGCAACAGGTATATCCTTTTGCATTACCTACCCATTTTGCTGGATGATAGAGTCCGATTAGGAATCAAACCTACAGGATTAAAGCTTGGTGCAGGAACATTCTCAATATCTCAAGTCTATTATTGCCTTCACTTATATAAGATCTACCTGCTCTGCCAGAATTGAATGAAGACCTTACATTAAAGGCAAACAATGAACCCAAAATTTCCTCTCCTCATTCCCAATATTATGATATTAAAGATTTTTATTTCTAACCCCCTTGCCCATTTATCTGGTCTGGGAGTTGAGAAGGAATAGCTAAAGTGTCTGAGAATAAATAGAACCGTTGCTGGCTACATTACTGCCCTTCTAATGAGAACCACCATTACCCAAGGGTTCAGGTCTCATTTCATTCAATAAAACATACCAGCTTCCAGCATCCAGGACAAGATGGAGTAGACGCACTTCTCCCTATTCCTATCACTAATTACAGCTAAAACTTTGGACAAATATAAGAAGACTCCTAGAAGTAACAAGGCCATTACCCCCATGTCCTTGCCAACGTAATACAAGAGAAGATTTGCTGAAATAGAAGATTTAACCTGTACTAAAATACATAAGCATAAAATTTACTGTCAAACCCATCTTTAAGTGTACAGTTCAGGGGCATTAAATATATCCACACTGTTGGTCAACCATCACCACTGGTGGTTTCTCCACAGAACTCTTTTCATCTTGCAAAACTAAACCTCTATACCTATTAAACACTCCCTGTCCCTGCCCCTAACCCCTAGCAATAACAGTTCTACTGTCTCTGTGAATTTGACTGCTCTCATACTTCAGATACTTGGAATCATGTAGGACTTGTTCTTTTGTGATTAGATTATTTCTTAGCATAATGGGTTCCAGGTTCATCCACGATGTAATTTATGTCAGAATCACCTTGTTTTCAAGGCTGAATAATACTCCATTGTGTGTATAACTACACTTTGTTTATCCATTCATCTGTCAATAGACACATGGGTTGCTTCCACCTTTTGGCTATTGTGAATAATGCAGCTATGAACATAGGTATAAAATAGTTCTTCAAGTCCCTGCTCTCAATTCTTTTATATATACATGTAGGAATGGAAATCCTGGTCATATAATAGTTCTAAGTTTAACCTTTAAGAAATGGCCAAACTCTTTCCATTATAGACAGCAGTAACATTTTACTTCCCACCAATAGCACACAAAGGGTCCAATTTCTCCACATCATCTTCAGCATTTGTATTCTTTCTTGATGATAGCCATCCTAATAGGTATAAAATGGTATGGCATTCTGGTTTTAATTAGCAATTCCCCAATGATTAGTTAGGCTGTTGAGCTTCTTTTCATGTGCATATTGGCCATTTCCATATCTTCCTTAGGAAGAAGTCAAGTCCTCTGACCATTTCTTAGTTGGATTGTATGTTTTTGTTGTTGTTGAGTGGTAGAGTTCTTTATATTTTCTGGATATTTACTCCTTCCCAGACATATAATTCACAAATTTGTCTACCATTTTGTGGGTTGCCTTACCACTCTGTTGATTGTGTTCTTTGATGCACCGATGTTTTACATTTTGACATAATCCAATTTACCTATTTTCTCAAAAATTATTGCCAAATCCAGTGTCATGAAGCTTCCCTCCTATAATTTCTACTAAGTTCTTGTTGTGTCACCCCAGCCTATTGATAGTGATTTTGGCAGGGTAAGAAACATATTTTGGCCTGAGGCGCATATTATACCAAGGTCTAGTTCCTCATTCTAATATTATACTATAAGTTACATAAGATGTACCATTGGGAAAATTCAGGTTCAGGGTGCACAGGACCTGTACTATTTTTGCAAATTACTGTGAATTTATCATTATTTAAAAATAAAAAAGTGTTTTCTTATTATTATTTAAATTCAAGTTAGTTAACATATAGTGTAGTATTGGTTTCAAGAGTAGAATTTAGTGATTCATCACTTAAATATAATACCCAGTTCTCATCCCAACAAGTGTCCTCCTTAATGCCCACCACCCATCTAGCCCACCCCTCCACTCACATCCCCTGCAGCAACCCTCAGTTTGTTCTTTGTACTTAAGAGTCTCTTATGGTCTGCCTCCCTCTCTATTTTTACCTTATTTTTTCTTCCCTTCCTTTATGTTTACCCATTGTGTTTCTTAATTTCACATGAGTGAAATAATATGATTCTTGTCTTTCTCTGACTGACTTATTTCACTTAGCATAATACATTCTAGTTGCAACCACATTGTTGCAATGGCAAAATTTCATTCTTTTTGATCAGTGAGTAATTTTCCATTGTGTATATCTACCACATCTTTTTTATTCATTTGTCAGTTGATGGTCATTTGGACTCTACATAATTTGGCTACTATTGATAGTGCTGCTATAAAACTGGGGTGCACGTGCCCCTTCAAATCAGCATATTTGTATCCTTTTGCATAAATACCTAGTAGTGCAATTGCTAGGTCATAGGGTACTTCTATTTTTAATTTTTGGAGGAACCTCCATAATGAAATCCCTGTCAAAATAACACTAGCATTTTTCACAGAACTAAAACAAACAACTCTAAAGTTTGTATGGAACCAGAAAAGACTCCAAATAGTCAAAGTAATGTTGAAAAGAAATCTGAAGCTGGAGGCATCACAATTCCAGATGTTAAGCTGTATTACAAAGCTGTAACCATCAAGACAGCATGGTACTAGCATGAAAAAAGACACATAGATCAATGGAACAGAATAGAGAACCCCAAAATGAAGCCACAAATGTATGGCTAACTAATCTTCAACGAAGCAGAAAAGAATATACAGTGGAAAAAAGACAGAATCTTCAGCAAATGGTGTTGAGAAAACTGGACAGCAACATGCAGAAGAATGAAACTGGATGACTTTATTAACCATACACAAAAAATGAATTCAAAATGGATGAAAGACAGAAAACCATCAAAATCCTAGAGGAGAAAACAGGCAGCAACCTCTTTTACCCGGCAGCAACAACTTCTTACTAGACATGTCTCCAGAGGCAAGGGAAACAAAAACAAAAATGAACTATTAGAACCTCATCAAGATAAAAAGCTTCTGTACAGTGAAAGAAACAATCAACAAAACTAAAAGCAACCAATGGAATGGGAGAAGATATTTGCAAATAACATATCAGATAAAGTGTTAGTATCCAAAATCTATTTTAAAAATGAATCAAACTCAATGCACAAAAATAAAAAGTTTTTCAAGATCCTGCATACTTCACTGAACTCAGACTTCAGACAAATTTATTGCATTCTATGAAACGCTACACCATTGCCATGTGGGAAAAGCCCTGTCTACCCCAAAGTCCCCTCGCTTCCTTCTCCTGCCACAACCGATCAGAAGTGCCACTTAATGCATAGTATCATGTTCATGGATGGCAGAGTACTCTCCAAATGAGAGAGATATACCCAGCAACTAGCTACTTTTTGCCTCTCCTCATAATCATATATCAGAATAGAAGCCTGTGGCAAATTTCAAGTTTGTTATCCTGTGTAAGAGGATCTGTGAGAAAAAGGATATCAGTGTCCCCAGGCATTGTAGAAATATGAGCAAAGCAAGAGGAACTAGGATCTGAACCCCAAGGCTTAGTGGTGGGGGGGGGGTGCAAGAAGGGGTGGTTGGTTCAGCTGTGGCAGAAGGAGGCATGCCTGAGAAACAGCTATCTGAAAACCAATTGAAAGTCCCTACGGTGAGTTATGGCTCTACATAGCAAGGTTAAAAATTTCCTCCTCCTTTGGCTCAGAAACTGTCATAGCTGGTCTGGCTTCAGGGGGCAGAAATTCTCCTCAGTCTCCACAACTGACAATGGTTCCTAGGAAGAGTTATAAGAAACCAGAAATCTCAAGGATTCACTATCTCTTTCTTTGACTCTTGTTTATAAAGGACAGGGGACTCTACTACAAACGTTACAGATGGGCATGGGGGTAGGTAAAACAAAAGGAATCAACCCAAATCTCAATTTTGGGAGGATGTGAGGAGAACAAGGAAGGTCAGAAATATCAAGTCTGGTAGCCTGTAGAATGGAAGAGCTGTAAATGAGGTATCGGCTGTTGGCCACATAGGCGCTGATGAATATTGAGGGAGATCAATTCTTTCAGGGCTCCAGAAATCATGCCATATGATCTCATAGCTAACCAAGTAAACAAGCTTCTAGTACAATTTTGTTGGGCAATGTAAATAGTCATTGTATCTGAAAACTCTGAAAGCCTCCTGGTTTGAATTAAATATTGAGAATCCTAAAATTCTGTTAGGTCATCACCTTTCTTCTCCATCTTGACTTTTTCTTGATGTTTGTTCCTTTCAAAGGTTGGACTAGAATAGTAGTAAGTAATTAATGGCATTCTTTCCTCCCAGGCCATACAAATAATGACTGGTCTGATTGTTCACTGCGTGGGACTGCTCTGGACATATTTGTTTACTACACAAGCTATTATATTTGGAAAAATGTATCTTCCTCTCGTAGTAATAACAGGATATGCATATTGGTCATCTGTGTGTGTAAGTGAATACTCCCTCATTGTTATTCATTAATTTATTCATCACATTTAGTGACTACTTCTGAACCAAGCAGTGTGTCAGAGATAGAACACAAAAAATTTCACAATCTGTTCTCAATGAATGTATTCTTATGTCTAGTTGAAAAGGAATATATCAATATGAAAAAAAACCTAGATTCTTACCAGTAATATTCCTTCATAATAAGAATATGTCTTTGTTAACAGGACACTTTTTACATGCTCCTTAGATAACAGAAACAATAGTAAGATGCATAAGGGGCATTTTGGGAAAATAGAAAATGGTTGGTGACTATTCCACTACCCATAGGCCATTTATTTTGCAAGTGGGGCAAGTAAGATGAGTGAACACAACAGCTAAAGAAATAGTGGGACATATAGAACCTATGTGGGGAAAGAAAAATGAAGTCTTTTTGTTCTGTTGATCTGAGAACAATTTGGTGGAATTGAAAAGAAATCTCTAAAGAAAAATTTACTATGTCTGAGAGTATGGTGGGTGATGTAACATTGTCCCCACAAAATCCGAGTGAAAATATTAATAATAATAATAATAATAACAAAAATAAGAAGAAGGAGAAGGAGAGAAGGAGAAGAAATTTCATTCAACCAGTACTTATAGAGTACCTACTATATGTCAGGTCCTGTTCTTGGTGCCTGAAATATATCAAAAAACAAAACAGACCCCAGACTTTAGGGAGATTTATTCTAGCAGGGGTAGTATGTTACAAGGGCTATGAAAGTAAAAAAGAAAAAGTAGAGTGGGGGGGGATGAAGTTTCTGGGAAAGTAGTGAAAAGATACAGGTTATTATTTTAAATTGGGTGGTTGAAGTCATCCTCACTGAAAAAGTTACTATTAGTCAACTATTGTTATATAAGAAACCATGATGAAACCCCGTAGTGTACAACCAGAAGTACACTGGACCCTTGAATAATGTCGAGGTTAGAGACACTCACCCCTGTGCAGTAGAAAATCTGTATATATTAATCAATAGTACCAAAAGTCCTGGCCACAGAAAAAGAAATAAAAGGCATCTATTTTGGTAAATAAGTAGTTAACTGCCACTATTTGTAGATGACATGATCCTATACACAGAAAATTTTGAAGACTCCACCAAAAAACTACCAGGAGTAATAACTCAATTCAGTATACTTGCAGGATACAATATTAATACTCAGAAATCATGAGCATTTCTATATACTAATAACAAACCAGCAGAATGAGAAATTAAGAAAACAACACCATTTAAATTACACCAAAACAACAACAACAACAACAACAAACCTGATTTAACAAACTTAACCAAAGAGGTGAAAGACCCATACTCTGAAAACTATAAAACATTGATGAAAGAGGGGTGCCTGGGTGGCTCAGCTGGTTAAGCATCTAACTTCAGCTCAAGTCATGATCTCATGGCTTGTGGGTTCAGGCCCTGCATAGGCCCATAGGCTGACAGCTTGGAGCTCAGAGTCTGGAGCCTGCTTCAGATTCTGTGTCTCCCTTTCTCTCTGCCCCTCCCCCACTCCTAGATTTCCTCTCTCTTTCTCTCTCTCTCTGTCTTTGTCTCTCTCAATAAATAAATAATACATAAATAAATAAATAAACATTAAAAATTTTAAAGAAAAAATATTGATGGAAGAAATTGAAGACAACACAAATGAGTGGAAAGATATACTGTGCTCATTAATTGGAAAAATTAATATTGTTAAAATGTCTATAGATTCAATGCAATGTACAGAATCTATTCAATCCCTATCAAAATACCAACAGCATTTTTTACAAAACTAGAAACAAATAATACTAAAATTTGTAGAAACCACAAAGTAACCAAATAAGCCCCGAATAGCCAAAGCAATCTTGAGACAGAAAACAAAGCTGGATGTATTACAACCTCAGATTTCAAGATATACTACAAAACAGTATGGGTACTGGCACAAAAATAGACACATAGATCAATGGAACAGAATAGAGAGCCCAGAATAAGCCCATGCTTATATAGTCAATTAATTTTTGACAAAGGAAGCAAAAATATACAGTGGGGGAAAGACGGTCTCTTCAACAAATGGTGCTAGAAAAACTGAGCAGCTAAATGCAAAAAAATGAAACTGGACCACTTTTAACACCATACACAAAAACTCAAAATGGTTTAAAGGCTTAATGTGAGAACTGAAACCATAAAAATGCTAGAAGAGAACACAGGCAGTAATTTCTCTGAGATTAGCTGTAGCGACATTTTTCTAGACATAACTCCTAAGGAAGGGACAGAAAAGGAAAGATAAACTGTTGAGACTGCATCAAAATAAGAAACTTCTTCACAGCAAAGGAAACCATCAACAAAACTAAAAGACAACCTACTGAATGGTAGAAGACATTTGCAAATGATATCTCCAGTAGAGGTTAATATCCAAAATATGTAAAGAACTTACACAACTCAACACCAAAAAATAAACAATTTGATTACAAAATGAGCAGAGGACCTGAATAGACATTTTCCCAGAGAAGACATACAGATGGCCAATAAACATGTGAAAAGATGTTCAACATTACTAATCATAAGGGAAATGCAAATCAAAATCAAAATGAGATATCACCTTACACCTATTAAAATGGCTAAAATCAAAAAGACAAGAAATAAGTGTTGACAAGGATGTGAAGAAAAAGGAAACTTGTGCACTGTTGGTGAAAGTGTAAGTTGGTACAGCCACCATGAAAAATAGATTCAAAAGATTAAAATAGTGGGGCACCTGGGTAGCCCCAGTCATTTGAGTGTCTGACTCTTGATTTCAGCTTAGGTCATGATCCCAGGGGCTTGGTATTCTCTCTCTCTCCCCCTCTGCTTCTCTCCCCGCATTGCTCTCTCTAAAATTAAAAAATTATAAAATTAGAAATACCATGTGATCCAATAATTCCACTATTGAGTATTTACCCAAAGAAAATGAATACACTGATTCAAAAAGATATATGCTCCCCTGTATTTACTGAACCATTATTTACAATAGCCAAGATATGGAAGCAACCTAAATATCCACTAATAGACGAATGGTTGAGAAAGAGTTGGTACACACACACACACACACACACACATACACATACACGCACACAATGAAATATTATGAAACCATAAAAAGGAATGAGATCATGCCATATGAGACAACATGGATGGGCATAGAGGGTATAATGCTAAGTGAAATCAGTCAGACTAAGAAAGATAAGGACCATACGATTTCACTCGTAAGTGAAATCTGAAAGAAAAGAAAATGAATAAATAAACAAAAGGCAAACTCAGACCTATAAACAAAGAGAACAAACTAATAATTGCCAGAGGGAAAGGAACCAAGAGGTTCAGCAAATTGTGTCAATGAGAGTGGGAGATACAAGCTTCCATTTAAGGAATGAATAAGTCATAGGAATAAAAGTCATAGCATAAGGAATCTAGTCAGCAGTCCATGATATTGTAATAGGGATATATGGTGACAGATGGTAGCTACACTTGTGGGAAACATAGCATAATGTATGAATTTATCAAATCACTATGTTGTACATATGAAACTAATGTAACATCATGTGCCAATGACACTCAAAGAAAATCTGTATATAATTTTTGACTCCCCAAAAGCTTAACTACTAATAGTTGACCAGAAGACTTACCAATAACAAAAACAACACATACTTTGTGTATTCTATGTATTACAGATTGTATTTTTTCAATAAAGTAAGCTAGAGAAAAGAAAATGTTTAAGAAAATCATAAGAAAGAGAAAATATGCTTACAGTTCTACACTATACTTATCGAAAAGGATCCATGTATAAATGGACCTGCACAGTTCAATGCCATGTTGTTCAAAAGTCAGCTGTATTTATTTCTTCCTCATGCATCTGTAAACTAGCAGAGATTCAGGTGATCTAGGCTGGGACCTAGATCTGGTTTGGCTCAAGCTACAGGTCAGATACAGATCTGTTCCATATGTATCTCATCCTCCTTGGGCTACTGGCTACTAAAGGCATATTCTTCTTGCAATAAAAGGCAGGAACACAAGAAGATAAGCCTAATCCCGCAAGAACATTTCAAGCCCTGGCGTGGCTTACATCTGCTTTTTGATGACTCTGTTTTAAGTTTTGGTTTTCTGGGAAGCTTTTCTAGAATGAGAGCCTCAAGTGAAGGAAGTCCAAGATGCTAAGAGGGAACATTCTTCTTGGTAAAGTGCTTATTAGTACTTGGTAAAGCATTTGGTAAAGCGCTTAATTTACTTCAGGGTTTTTGTGAAGAAGACAGGGCCACCACAAGATTTATGGAAATACAGAAACTAGTATAAGCATTGGAGCCTTCAAAAATGTGGGAGTTCCTGGAGATGAGAAGATGTGGAAAGGAGAGATGGAGAATTGTAAGGAGAATCTCTAACTGCTTCTGCCTGAGACACCAGCAAGAGTGGACAGGTTGAAATTGTAATCAAATTTAAGAAGCCATGGGTTCCTGGCCACCAGAGTAGGGTTGCCAAGGGAAGGTTATGGAGAAGTCTAGAAACTGTCTGTGGAAGAAAAAATGGAAACATAACAGAGGAATAGGAGGAAAAAAAATAAAGCCACAGTTGCCATGTCTGATCACCATGATCTTCTGAGAGTGATACTTTCTCCTTCCCTTCTCTCTTCCAAATATTGCTCCAGATTTTCTTTCAGCCACTTGTAATCAGACACCATCAAAGGAAAGGAATTCTGGAAAATGTAGTTCTGAGCCTTAGGTGGAAGCTAATAGGAACAAGTTGGCTATAAATAATTCAGCTAATTGCTCTCTGTGTAACTATCACAACAACCAGTAACACAGAAAGACAGGAAATATGAATCCTCATTTTACCAATGAAAAAAGCAAAACTAAAGATAGGGTAGGTACTTCCTATTGAATCACATAGAAAGCAAAGTGCAAAAAATTCAAATTCAGATCCTTCTGACCCCAAAATACTACTTAGTATTAACAGGTTAGTGACCCCATTTTTCTGGGGAAAGAACATTCCTTCCCTTTACCACTAATGGAATAGTTATTGTTTTAATGCTGTGGGAAGTTTCCATGCATGCATAAAGTTGCACCAATGAAATAAATAAATTTCTGATACACCATGTCCTCTTTCTAACAAATTTTAGGAAGTGATAGAAGGTTTCAGAATAAGCTATTCATAGAAGACATTATATGATTCTTATATTTAAATATGTAAAATGAAACTTTAATATTTTCTGAATTATATTTTCCATTACTAAAATATTTTTAACATGATATTAAAAGTACTTCCACGTGAAATCACCAAGATATAACATTGTCTAGTAGTAAATTCATTAATGGGATATATTTTTTTGTAATTCACCTTATGGGATCACTAGATTAGGACTGACAAAATCTAAGTAAAATTTGACACTGCTTTTGCCCCATGAAGTCAACTCGAAGTTCACATAGTTCCATTTCCAATACATGTGTTGCATTACTGAACAGAGACTTCATGCCCTTCCTATCTCTTTAATACAGAAACTTTGAATTATTTGCTGAATGATTTTCTCAATGGTCCCATCAAAGAATTAAGATGGTATTCTTCATGTTACAGCATCCAGGATTCTTTTACTCTTTAAGTTTATATATAAAGATAATAACTAGGTATTAATAAATGTGATTTTTGTTTCCAGTTTATCTTCTCGGGAGTCTTTGCAGTATTAACAGAGAGGATGCATTCAGTGTTCTTGGTAAGTCAGAATGCTTGTAGCAACTATAGATATAACAGTTTTATTTGCCAGAAGAAGGAGAGTCAATAAGGAGCTGGCATTGTCTCTGAGTCACTTGAGAAAGAACAAAGCTGGAGGCATCACACCTCCTGATATCAAACTATGCTACAAAACTATAGTAGTCAAAACTGTATGGCACTGGCATAAAATAGATACAGAACAATGCAACAGAATCCAGAGCCTGGAATTAAATCCCTGCATTTAGAGTCAACCAGTATTCAGTAAGGGAGTCAAGAATACCCAATGGGGAAAGGATAGTCTTTTCAACAAATGGTATCGGGAAGACCAAATAAACAATATGCAGAGGGATAAAATTGGATCCTCATCTTACACCACTGTTAGTTCCTTTAAAAACATACTTTAAATATAGACAGGTTTCAGTAGAAGTTGGGAAAAAGATATTTGTGGTAAAAAACCAACCACATGAAGGCTGTACTGATATTATACAAAGTAGACTTTAAAGCAAAAGTTATCAGAGATTTTTATTTGAAAAGGACACTGCATAATAATAAAAGGTTTAGTTCAACATAAGGTATAATAATCCTAAATATCTATTTACCTATTAAAGTAGCTTCAAAATAAGCAAATAAAAATTGACAAAATAAGAAAGAAGGAGAAATCTACAATCATATATGGAGAAGCTATGCAACTTTCTACCAGAGAATAGAAAAAGAAGAAAAATGCTTCCCAACACATTATGAGGACAGTATATCATTGATTCTAAAATTCTACCAGGATCTTATAAGAAAAGAAAATTACAGACTAAAATCCCTCATGACCATAGATGTAAAAATCCTAAAAATATATATTAGCAAATAAAATACAAAATATAGAAAAATACAAATAAAAAGGATAATATAGTGAAAAATACAAATAGAAAGGATAATACATCATGACTGATCCTGGAAATGCAAAGTTAGATTAACATTTGAAGATAAATCAGTGTGCTCTACCACACTAAAAGCATAAAAACCAAATGATCAACTCAATGACTGAAAAAAAAAATACAATCAATAAAAGGTATCTATCAAAAGAGAGAGGGAGAAATAACATCACGCTTAATAGTGAAAATTGAAAATTTTAAAACTTCCCCTAATCCTTTGTTATCTTTTAACAAGAGAAGCATATAAGCTATCATCTGTATCTTCAGTATTTTATTTAAGGTGTCCTATCCACTGCTATATGGCAAAGAAGAATAAAGTATATGATATTCAAATTAGAAAGAAGAAAAAGTATTTTTAGATGACAAACTTGAAGAGATAAGTGAATTTTTTATCTTCAATATATAAAAACCAAATCAGATAACTTTCTATATATGCTTGCAGAAACCAGTGGATAAACAAATATTAAAATACCATTTACATTAATATTAAAATGGTTAAGACTCCTAGAAACAAATATATCAAAATATGTGTAAGACCTGTATTCTAAAAGAGACACAAGTGGGGCGCCTGGCTGGCTTAGTTGGTTAAGCGTCCGACTTTCGCTTAGGTCATGATCTCACGGTTCGTGGGTTTGAGCCCCGCGTCGGGCTCTGTGCTGACTGCCAGCTCAGAGCCTGGAGCCTGTTTCAGAGTCCATGACTCCCTTTCTCTCTGACCCTCTCCTGCTCACGCTGTCTCTCTCTCTCCTAGAAATAAATTAAAAAAAAAAAAAAACATTAAAAAATATATTTAAAAAAATAAAAGAGACACAAGAAAACGATCTAATGGCATCTTTAAAGCACTGGGAAGAAACTGTGTTCTAGAATCCCATATCCACTGAAAATATCCCTTTAATATCAATGCTGAAATCAATTCGTTCTCATATAAGCAAAAGCTGAGAAAAATCTCTGATCAGATCTACAATGCCAAAGGAAATTAAAGTTCTTCAGGCTGAAGGGAAGAGGTGACAGATGGAAACGTGAACGCACAAGTCGAAATAAAAAGCACCAGAGATGATATAGATGCACCTTTGCTTCTGTAACAAAGTACCACAACCTTATTGGCTTAAAACAACATAAACTTATTATCTTAGAGTTTTAGAGATCAAAAGTTCTCAAAATCAGAATGTTGACGAATGTTTTCCTTCTGGAGGCTGTTGGGAAGATGGTGTTCCCTGCCTTTTTTAGCTTCTAGAGGCTGCCACATTCTTTGGCTGGAGCCACACCTTTCTAATCTCTTATCCTCTGTTCTCATAAACACATTGTCTTTTCTCCATTATCCTCTCTCCTCTCTCTTACAAGGAGCCTTGTGATTACATTTGACCAAACCAGATATTTGAGGATAATCTCATCTCAAGACCTTCGACTTAATCACATCTTCAAAGTCCCTTTTGCTGCATAATTACATATTCACGCTTTCTGGGGATTAGGACATCTATTATGGAACCATTATTTAGCCTACCACATACAGGTAAAGGTAAAATAGTGTGTTTTTTATTTCCTAATATCTTTACTGACTACTAAAAGCAAAAAATTTACCCCTGAATAGCCAAAAGCAATCTTGAGAAAGAAAAACAAAGCTGGAGGCTCATGGGCTCTAATTTCAAACTATATTACAAAGCTATAGTAATCAAAACAGTATGGTAATGGCATAAAAACAGATATATAAATCAATGGAACAGAACAGAATAGAAAGCCCAGAAATAAATCCATGTATATATGATCACCTAATTTATGTATGACAAAGGAGCCAAGAATATAAAATGGGAAAGGACAGTCTCTTCAATAAATGGTGTGAAGAAAACTAGACAGCTTGGGCACCTGGGTGGCTCAATCAGTTGAGCATTGACTCTTGCTTTCAGCGCAGGGCATGATCTCATGGTTTGTGAGTTTGAACCCTACATCGGGCTCAGTGCTGATTAGTGCAGAGCCTGCCTGGGATTCTCTCTTTCCCTCTCTGCCGCTCCTGTGTGCTCTCTCTCTCTCTCTCCCTTTCTGTCTTTCTCTGTCTCTCTGTCTCTCTGTCTCTCTCTGTCTCTCTCTCTCACACACACACACACATAAATATACATACATACATACATAAACTTTAAAAATTAAAAAAAAAAAAACTGGACAGACACAATGCAAAGGAATGAAACTAGACCACTATCTCACACCCTACAAAAAATTAATTCAAATGGATGAAAGACTTGAATGTAAGAACTGAAAACATAAAATTCCTAGAAGAAAACACGGGCTATCAGCTCCTTGATATTGGTCTTGGCAATGATTTTTCTTGGGCCTGACACCGAACACAAAGGCAGCAAAAGTGAAAATAAGCAAATGGGACTACATCACATTAGGAACTTCTACACAGCAAAGGAAACCATCAACAAAGTGAAAAGCCAATCTACCAAATGGGAGAAAATAGTTACAAATCATATCTCAGATAAGGGGTTAATTACCAAAATATATAAGGCAATAGCAAAAAAGCCAAACAAGCTTCAAGTTGGGCAGAAAATTGAAATAGGCATTTAAAAAATGTTTTTATTTAAATTTCAGTTAGTTAACATGCAATGTAATACTAATTTCCAGTGTACAATATGGTGATCCAACGCCTCCATACAACACCCAGTGCTCATCATAGCAAGTGTACTCCTTAATCCCCATCATCTATTTTACCCATCCCCCTACCCACGTCCCCATCAGTTTGTTCTCTACAGTAAGGAGTCTGTTTCGTGGTTTGCCTCCCTTTTGTTTTTTTCCCTTTGCTCATTTGTCTTCTTTCTTAAGATGAGTGAAATCATCTTTCTTTCATATGAGTGAAATCATATGCTATTTGTCCTTTTCTCATTACTTATTTCACTTAGCATAATACTCTCTGGCTCCATCCACATCATTGCAAATGGTAATATTCCATTCCTCTTTATGGCTGAGTAATATTCCATTGCATATATATATACCACATCTTCTTTGGACACTTGGTCTATTTCCATAAGGTAACTATTACAGATAATGCTGGTATAAACATCAGGGTACATATATCCTTTTAAATTAGTATTTTGTCTCCTTTCGGTAAATACCTAGTAGTGCAATTGCTGGATCATAGGATAATTCTATTTTTAACTTTTTTGTGGAAACTCCATACTGTTTTTCAGAGTGACTGCACCAGTTTGCATTCCCACCAACAGAGCAAAAGCGTTCTCCTTTCTCTACATCCACGCCAGCACCTGTCATTTTCAAAGAAAACAAACAGAAGGCCAACAGGTACATGAAAAGATGCTAAACATCACTAAACACCAGAGAAGGGCCTATCAAAACCATAATATCACACCTGTTAGAATGACTAAAATAAAAAAGATACGAAATAGCAAGCTTTGGTGAGGATGTGGAGAAGAGAACCGTCATGCACTGTTGGTGGGAATGAACTGGTGCAGTCACTATGGAAAACAATACGAAGGATACTGAAAAAGTTAAAACTGGAATGACCATGTGATCCAGCAATTTGATTTCCAGGAATTTATCTGAAGAAAACAAAAAAACTAACTTGAAAAGATATAGGCATCCCTATGTTCATTGCAACATTATTTATAATAGTCAAGATATGAAAACACACACACATACAAAATGGAATATGACTCACTCATTTTAAAAAGTATGAATTTTTGCCATTTCCAACAACACAGATGAACTTTGAGGGCATATGCTAAGTGAACTAAGTCATACAGAGAAAGACAAAGACTGTACAATCTCAGTCTAGAAAAATCTAAATCTAAGTCTATATATATAGTAGATTATATATATATATGTATATGTATATTCTACAAAAAGTGTAAAATTTCTAAAAATCTTTAAAAAAAAAAACCTTTATACAACTAGGGAACAGACTGGTGGTTTCCAGAAGTGGAGGGTGGGGTGGACAAAATGAGTGAAGGGAGTGAAAATGTGCCTGCTTCCAATACAAAATAAATAAGTCATAAAGATGTAATATGCAACATGGCAACTGATATAGTTAATAATACTGCATTGCATATTAGAAAGCTGCTAAGAAGATAAATCTTAAAAGTTCTCATCACTAAAATGAAAATTTTTGTAACTATGTATGATGATGGATGTTAACTAACCTTATCATGGTGATCATATTCATAGACATCCCTGTATATCCTAAGAAGTCTACAAAAAGTATTCAGTTTATAAGAATTTATCAACATTGGGGAATACAAATTCATATTAAGAAGCCCATTGTATTTCTGTGTATTGGAGATGAAATTTGTAAAAAATGCCTTTACAATTGCACTCAAAAATACAACATTTAGAAATTATTTTCCCTAGGGGCACTGAGCAGTTCAATCGGTTAAACGTCCGACACTTGATTTTGGTGCACGATTTCATGGTTCGTGGGTTTGAGTCCCACATCAAGCTCTGCACTGACAGCATGGAGCCTGCTTGGGATCCCCTCTCTCTGTCCATTCCCCACTTACATTCTCTCTCTCTCTCTCTCTCTCTCTCTCAATAAATAAACTTTAAAAAAACAGAAATTATCCATAAGTGTCAATGAAATATTTCCAAGACCTTTATTTACATAGACCACTACAAAACATCATAGAGAGAAACTGAACAGTATCTAAGTAAATAGGTATGTTCATGGATGGAAAAACAAACATTTTTAAGATGTCAGTTTTCTTTCAACTGATTTTATAGATGCAGTACAATCCCAATCAAAATCCTAAAAGGATTTTTTCTCTTTATTGATAGGTTGATTTCAAAATCTATATGGAAATAATCAAAAAGAAAGAAAGTATAAAACAAATAGTACTTGATTTTAAGAGTTAAGGATCATATTATTTTAATGTGATTATCCCTCTTTAAGGGAAATTTGTTCCAAAAGAATAAATTAAGATCACCGTACAACAGTAAATAGCATATAGATAAACATATGATTTATCTAGTGAAATAGGTTTCAGAATCCAGTGTAGGCTTTCTTACTTATTATCTAATTCATATAAGATAGAATTCTGTGTGCCTGGATAGCTCAGTCAGTTAAGCATCCAACTTTGGCTCAGGTCATGATCTCACCATTCCTAGGTTTGAGCCCCGTGTCAGGCTCTGCACTGACACTCAGGCCCTGGAGACTGCTTCAGATTCTGTCTGCCTGTCTCTCTCTCTCTCTCTCTATCTATCTCCCCATGCCCCCCCTTCCCCCGCTTGCACAGTCTCTCTGTCTCTCTCTCTCAAAAATAAATAAACTTAGGGGCACCTGGATGGCTTCGTCGATTAAGCGTCAGACTTCGGCTTAGGTCATGATACCAAGGTTTGTGAGCTCCAGCCCTGTGTCAGGCTCTGTGCGGACAACTCAGAGCCTGGAGCCTGCTTCAGACTCCGCATCTCATCTCCTTCTCTCTGCCCCTCCCCAACTCACACTCGTGTGTGTGTGTGTGTGTGTGGGTGGGTGGGTGTGTGCGCGCGTGCACGCATGTGCATATGTGTGTCTTTCTCAAAAATAAACATTTATAGATAAATAAGCAAACTTAAAATAAGAATTCTACTGGTGCAAATGAGAACAAGGAAGTAAGTATGAGAGAAGGATGTCCCCCAAAACAGTATCATAGGGTTTAATCACTCCTCTGAGCTCATCTGTGGACAAAGTGTGATTATGCAGCAACATTACATATTTGCATTGCCCTGAGTGCGTAGCCTGACATGACGTGGCCTGAAAACCTTGGCATGTAATTCCCCACTATCTTCAAGATAAAATCCTAATTATCTATCTAGATGGTACCTGTCTCTCCAGCAAAATTCCCAATGACTCCCCTTCTAGCACTGTTAAATGAACCACGGCAAACTCCTGGAATATTAGCTCTCTGGTAATCTGACCCTGTGTGGCTCCATGAACTTACCTATACTGTTAACATTTTTTCCCATTCTATTCATATTTAATAGGCCCTTGTTTGTCTTCCTCAGTCTACCTGAAGACCAGAGACTTCTTTTCTGCCTCTTTATCTAATAACACAAAGGATAGTTTGCATGGTACAGAATTGACATTCAACAATTCATTGTCAGAGAAGGAATAAATATAGGCATGCTACATCAAAAGTTTCATTTTCTCCAAAATTGTTCAGTTATTGGGATCCTGACAAATCTGCAGTTCTGACAGTCCTTTTCATGGTCTTTACTACTCTGGAAAGATCAGAATTTGTATAAATCTTCTACTTGAATATACCTGGCAGTGGTGTATATAGAAACTTCCAATGACCAAGTGACTCTCTTTATCTATTCCAGATGTCCTATACTATGGTAGTGAACATCGTAAGTGCCTGCACTGCAGTGATTGGCCTGATTATACTATCACTTGAGTTTATAATATATAGTATGACTACAAAACCTCCTATTTGGCCAGAGGTAATTACCAGATTTCTATGAAATTTTCATCACAGATTTAGAATTACATTTAAATTCTTTGGTGAGCAATCCAAGTAGTAAAGTATAATGCAAGATATGACAGTGACCTTTATCATTTATTTACTCTGGTGTGTACTTCTACTACAAACCCAGTTCAAACTACAGGTTGGATTTCTAAACCTATTTTTAAACCTATTTCTTTTTTTTTATTTTTTAAATGTTTTATTTATTTTTTGAGAGAGAGAGAGAGAGACAGCGTGAACAAGGGGAGGGTCAGAGAGAGAGGGAGACACAGAATCTGAAGCAGGCTCCAGGCTCTGAGCTAGCTGTCAACACAGAGCCCAATGCAGGGCTAGAACCCACAAATTGTGAGATCATGACCTGAGCCAAAGTCGGACGCTTAACCGACTGAGCCACCCAGGCGCCTAAACCTATTTCTAAACCCCAAATATCAAGTAAGCAAATGGGAATGCATTCTAAATATTAGTAGATGAGTTTTGAGTGGTTTAGCATTACATTCAATTCTGCTATTGAATTAGTATTATATTCAAATCTGGTATTATATACCAATTCTAGTATATAATATGCCTACCTAGTAGCCAAGATATTTTTATAATAGGAAGCTCAGTTCTTCCTCGGTACCTATTATCTCCAAGGTCAGTTTTCCCAGGCCTTAAATGATCAAGTTTATTATAGCAAGATTGATCTTCAAAGAAGGAAATAACATCCTTATATACTTGTGATACCCAGGGATTTATGCTTACCAGGGATGTAATCTTCAGACAGAATAAAGCAGAACACTATAAATGTATGTGATTTGCAGTGTATGTGTAATCAGTTCTGTATACACATGACTGTATGGACTTTTCTGAACTGCCTTCGTGTCTGTCAGTCTGCCTGTCAGCAGGTCTATGTGAGTCTGTTTAAGTGTGTCCATGTTTGTGTTTCAGTATCTTCATATAGCTGTGTTTCTATCCACATGGAACTGTGGACATTTGTGCATTTAACCATATATGTTTGTTCATGTGGAGAAAAGGAGCTATGATAGCAAGGAGGTAGAAATTAGTGCTAGGCAAGTTGGGTGGGAGTTAAACCTTAAGTTCTAAAACCTCTATGGATTCCTGTCTTTCTGTTCCATCCTATTTGCCCAGGGCTTGACAGAGGTCAAGAGAGCTGGGCTTTTGACCAAGACTTAGAAATCAGCTTTTCTGAATTGAGTCCGTCAGATGTTGCCTGTTTTTAAATTCTTAGCCTAATACAAGCTCTCCTTACTTCAAAATCCCAAACTCTTGGTTAATTAGCTAGTTCCAACACATATATGTTGGTTTGCGTTTTGCTGAATTTTTCTTATTTCTACATAGTTTTGAAAGTGATTTTACACTAAGTGGGATTGTAAACTTCCTTGGGGGAATGATTTATGTCTCTGACTCAATTACAGAAATAAGCTAAGAAACGTTGGGGCGCCTGAGGCACCCAATTGATTAAGCGACCAACTCTTGATTTCGGCTCAGGTCGTGATTTCATGGTTTGTAGGTTTGAGCCCTGCATCAACACAGAGCCTGCTTGGGATTCTCTGTCTCCCTCTCTCTCTCTGCCTCTACCCTACTCACACTCCCTCTCTCTCAAAAATAAACATTAAAAAAAAGAAGAAGAAAAGAAATGTTAAGCTGCTTACTCATGCTCAGAGCTCTTTACTTGCAGAACATTCATTCTAATAAAAATGGTCTAAATTCCAAGTTATTTCACTGCATAAAATTGAGCCCTAACAGAAATCAGTTAAATGCCACCTCAGAGAACCATCTTCTCACTGAAGGGAATGTTAATATTTTATGACACATACTCTGAAGGATACCTTAAAGTAAAATCTTAAATAAATATAAACCTCCAGATATTGCTTAAGATTATATTTGCACAACAAGAATGTCTCATTTTACTAGGTTGCAATGCAATTATAATCTTGATTATTTCATTTTTCCATCTCTTCTCTTGAACCTGCGATGCATGTATAAGCAAAAAATCCAAGATCTTCTTCCTGAAGCCCATTCCCTGCTGACCCGCTCAAGTGATTCAAGAACATTGAGAGCCAAAGATTCAATATGGCTTCCAAACTTCTAGTTGAGAATCCTGGGACATCTCAGTAATGTACCAGCATGTCCATAATTTCACTGCCATGGCTTCAGTTGCTATTAAATGGTGTCAGTATTGAAAACTGGTCTCAGTAGCCCATGGTGGCCTTGTCACAAAAATGCTTTGGGCGTTTAGGCCTGCAACTATCTGTCCTTCAACTATCCAAGCTGTCCTACAAGGAGATGGGTCTAGTGGGGTTTCAAGTCAGAAGCACAATCCCAAGAGGAAACCACCTATTCACAGGACACAAAAGCCCTTCTATTGAGCCTTGTCATAAACCCAAACCTTTTTATTTTTCTTCACTGTAAGTTTCTTCTTAGGACCTTTTCCTAAAACAGGCCTAATTCCAAACATCTCTGCATTAAATAAGTTCTGTAACACTGAACTTCAAGAGTGTTCCAAGTCCATCTTCTTTAGAGGTCCATTGGCTTCAGTGAAAATTTGCTGACCTTACCCCTAACCACACACAGGAAAGCACAATCGATGATTCTCATTATCCATTTGGCAGAAAACTGTCAGCTTATACTCATCCTCAATAATTATCAGTTATCATTATGATCAAGAAAATATAAATAACCACAGTTTGGGGGGCTGGGGATATATTGAGTAGTTCTCTCATTTTTTTTATCTTCCTGAAATTAATTGTACAATGCCTTTATTATTTTAAAAGTGTTAACATATAAATATCTGTAAGGAATGTACATTTTATTTTTGGAAACAGAGAAGTGGTAAAATCCTTTCAGAATATCTATTCCTATTCACCTTGTTGGAGTTATTTATGGCGTGTACAGTGGTCCATTGGATATACAAAGCTAAACAACGCAGATAATAAAGATGTAGTAAGTATCTCCTTTATCCATGGTGAATTAGAAGATACTGGATTCCATGCTGAACTGAACTAAAGCATTAATAAGATTTTAGTGTCATCTCCAAACTGTGTTAAAGGTAGCTGAAAACACTCTGTACTATTGTGCACTACATAAGTTTCTGTACAATTGAGGGTAAATAATTTGCTCTAGACAAAGGTGTTTTGTATTACATAATATTTTTATGGTCACACCTTATGAGAGAACAGGATGGAAGATACATGATTTTCTAGCTTGAGGCTGTTTAAGTCAATAGATATTTCACTAGAAACAAACAAAAAGAATCTTGTGGAGGTCATACGCCCATCCAGAGATTTGGGAATGCTGAAGTCCTATATCTTTAATTTTCAAAAGTTTGAGAAAACATGTTGAATATCAAAGTGTAGGATCTTTAGCAATTTCAGAAACCATGATTTTAAAGTAACTGAGAAGTTGGAAAAGATGGTAAAAGCCCTTTTCCTATTTCCTCCACATCTACTACTTCATGTCTAAAGACAAACTTTATCTCCAACTGACCTCAACATCACTGAATCAGAGAACTTTGGTAAAAGATACATCTGCCCTTTCCTCCCCAGTTCCCTTATCATAGACCCAGGTTTAAGGATCACTCATAAGAATAACTCATAAGGAATGCAGTGTTTACATGGGGGAAAGAGTGATTTGTCCATGTATTCTAGACCAGATACATAGGGAGATTTAAGAAATGATAATTAAGGATCAGAATACCTATAACAGTGGTCTTGGAACAGAAGTAGGAAAAAAAGATTTGAGAGAAAAGAGGGAGTGAGATACTTACAGATCCTGTTTTCAAATATTCCTGGTTCTAAGCCTTCATATGTGCTTGGATGAAGCCATTGATACCCAGATAATATTTTCCTCCACTTTAAGCATCTGCTAAGGATAGGCATTGAAACATTCAGACTAAAGTACAAATCACTGAGATCAAGTCAATCATTGCTCTGATAGGAGAATGGAAATACAAACTGCCAAATACTGCGGGGGGGAAAAAATGGGAAAAAAAACAAGGAAACCTTTGATCTAAGTTGTGAGATGAGGTAAGAATGATATGGGTAAATCTCAGCTTTGAGAGCTCTACCCAAGACTATTGGGTTTTACTCCGATCAAAAGTGTGATGTGTGGAATGTATGATTATGGAAATTATAGAACACCAGAATATGGGAAAACTTCATCAAATGACATATGTCTTAGAATCTCAAAACTAACAATGGAGAGGGAAACTTTATAGAAAATGTATTAAAAGGCAATCAGTGATCCAGACATCAGGCTTTCAACACCCTAATTTCTATGGAATGACATTGCATGTATTTTCAAAAGGAAATGCCTTTTGCAGTAGAAATGGAGTATCAAGAGAAAGTAGAAAATTCAAAGGGACAATTTTTTGCTGATAATCCCATCTCTATTCCAAATAGTTTTATCAGATTAATTCAAAATAGAGAATGGGGCGCCTGGGTGGCTTAGTCGGTTAAGCGTCAGACTTTCGCTTAGGTCATGATCTCGCGGTTCGTGGGTTCGAGCCCCGCATCGGGCTCTGTGCTGACTGCCAGCTCAGAGCCTGAAGCCCGTTTCAGTCTGTGACTCCCTCTCTCTCTGACCCTCCCCTGCTCGTGCTGTCTCTCTCTCTCTCTCCTAGAAATAAATAAAACATTAAAAAAAAAATAGAGATTATTTAAGCAAATCAATCTGCAGATTAAGATGATAAACCAAACAAGGCATATTTATGGAATGGTAAGTAAATTAATGAGCATGGAGCAGTCTTTGTGGAGGTGAGTGGTGGAGAAATGGGATTCAAGAAAGTAGATTGGATCTAAACTATTACAGAAATGAATGTTGTGCTATCATATCCAAACTCTCATGCTAAAAGTGTTGGCTACCTAAATTTTAATACTGGGAGAGGGAGAAAAGGAGGACACATATAGTTAGATCATATCAATAATATTGACAGATCTTTTTTTTCCCATTTGAGAATGCTTCTCAGCTCCCTAGCCAGGGCAGCTGTTTGATGGTGGTGCTGTTAAGAGGAAAAAAAGACAAATTATTTTGTGGGTGAGATGATAAGTTTAACTTGAGATATATTTATTTGAAATACTTTGGGGTCATTTAGCTTAAAACCTCTAGTCAGAAGCTGGAAATATGAGCCTAGAACCAGAGAGGTCTAAGATGAAGATTCAGCACTAGGATTGCTGTAAGTTCATAGTTGGTTGAACATGTTTTTGGTATAAATAGTGTTGCCCATGGAGAAACTGTAGAGCTATAGCTGAAAGAGTCAAGGGACATAATAACAGCCTAAGGAGATTAAGGTCCAGGTAAAAAACCAAGTTGAAAGGTCAAGTTTGTGAGATTAGAAAATAATGGCCAAGTAGTAAAATGGGGAACCATAAATGGGAGCCATAAAATGAGTGGTGAAATGGGAATGCCTTTAGTTCTATCTAAAAGCATTCAAACTAAGAATTTAAAAAAGAAATTATGTTTCTAGCCAAAAGGAGGCAAACAAACAAAATGCACACCAAGCACACATACATACACACGTCAAATTCATAATTCTCCTATGAATAAATTGAAAGAAAAAAGCATGAATTGAACATATAAGAATGTATAGCTCTCTACCCAATTAGAATTTAAACTGATAGGTATTCAAGCTATACTAAATAGTGCAACTTAGTTTGAGTAGAAAACTATACATTCTTACATGATCAATCTTTTTAAGGGATCTATCTATTCATATAATATCATTTTTGGCTGTCAACCTAAAGAAACAAAAAGGAAGGAAGGAAGAAGAAAAGGAAGAGAAGGAGGAAGGGAAAGAGGCAGTGAAGGAGGAAGAAGGAGGAAGGAAATTATTTTTAAAGCACCAAAAGCACATGGTTTAATTTTTAAAATCTCAAGGATAAGAATTTTCCAAATAGCATTCTTTCCAGAATTATACCCCAAATCCTACAGTTATTTATTTGGGAGTGTATTAATGATTCAATTTACTAACATCCAACTTACCTCAGGTACACAGCAGAAGGGAATCCTTTACCTACATATTAAAGAACCATAATGACGTGAGTCAAGAAGAAAGTGTAGTGCCGAATGAAGAACTTCATTTTGTTCAAGAGGCTTCTTGGAAAATGCATTTTAATTAAGTCCATCACAGTATTTCCTTTCCCCCACTTCATTAATAAAAATTTTAATTGATAAATTGGTTTTTCATCTGTGTGGGGAGGTGAGTGAGCATAAATTTATCTCAAGTTGAATCTGGTCATAGATTCTCTCATACAAGAGAAATGATAAAAATTGGTACAATGTTTCTGGAGTGGTATTTAGATCTAATATTATATGATGATATGCTAAATGCCAACTCAAGGAAACCATATCATTGTAGAAAGGAAAGGCAGTATAAATTATGAAAGATCCCATTGCCTGTGAGGGTCTCTCAATAGATTAGCTTGAAATACAAATTCGAATATTTCTTTCTTCCTAGATATTGCTAACATTTGCATTACTTTCCTACAATAAAGTATGTTATAATTTAATATCTCCCTATATTATTGAGACTAAATGAATGAATGACTCTTGGATTTTAGTTTTTCTAGAAAGGCCAACTTCCAAAATGTTCCATCTTTATGCCCACAAGTTTACTTTATATTTTATCACACTTCGAATTTTATAAATATTTTAGGTACATTACCTTGTTAGAAATTTTATATGTCTGTAAGACTCCTCTATTTTTCAAAAACACCATGTTCCATCTCCCATACCCAACTCATACTTCCCTCCCTCCATAAGCAATTGTTCCATTGTCTACAATGTGCATATTTTTAAGTGTTTCCAGACAATGGATGGCATTGTACTGTAGGAATGTATGTGTAATTCATGTAGATCAAACACACAACATACGTGCACAACATACTTTTCTTTCTCTCCTCAGTATGTTTTTAAGATCCATACACACTGCTATCAGTACATTTATCAATTGAGTTTTAAATGCTGCTCCATACTGTGAGGCACGCATCCAGAACATTTTACACCTTCACTCTTCCAGAGATAAACATCTAAGTTGCCTAGGATTCTTTGCCCCTTGAGTAATTTCTTTAAGAAATGAATTCAGGAGTGGAATATCTGTGTGCCCTATGTTTATGTCATTTGCTCATGAAATGCAAGAACTTCCACCATTTAGAACAGTCCAGTTGCAGGGTCATTAGGTTATGAACTCTTTCTTCAGTACAGTCTGTTTGCTTTTTGTTCCCTAGGGATTCACAGATTCTGGTTCAACAATAATGTTACTTCCTGTTTTCCAATGTAGCAAGGGCTTTTTTTTTTTTTTTTTTTTTAACATTTCTTGGCATTGGAGTTCACATGAGAAAGAAGTAGCATCTGTTCGGTCAACCCTCAACTAGAAACTACAACTATAAGAGAAACCTGAGGGGTGCCTTGGGAGGCTCAGTGGGTTGAGCATCTGACTTGGGCTGAGGTCATGATCTCACTGTTCGTAGATCTGAGTCTCACACCAGGCTCTGAGCTGTCAGCACAGCTGACAGATTTGGATTTGGAACCTGCTTTGGATTCTGTGTCTCCCTCTCTCTCTCTCTCTGCCCCTCTCCAAATTATGCTCTCTCTCTCTCTCTCTCTCAAAGATAAATAAGCTTTTAAAAAAGAGAGAGAGAGAGAGAGAGAGACTTGAGTACATACATAGGTTAAGAGGAAATGTAGAATAGGGAGTAAGGTTTGAATATATTGCAGACAAAGAAGTAATTGATGGAATCAGGATCAGGAGCCCATGAAAGGAAATGAGGTTAACAGCACAGGGATATATAGATATACACTTTAGAACAGAGAAAGGACACCCAATTCTTAGCAAGTAAACAAACGGAATAATTGGGTTGTAAATACATACATTGGGAAAGATAAGGGAAGAGCATAACAGCCTTAATTTTCCTTTGAAATAAATGGCTAGTCAGTCATCTAAGAGTGAAAGGTAGTAGTTGGTGAAGTACTTGTTTGGGTTTAAGAGTTATATGAATCAGATACAGAAATGATGAAATCATAGTCAAAAAATTGATGAAAACCACAGATGAAACCAGTGAGATTTGAAACCACGTATTTGTTGTGCTGCTTATCCCTGTGATCAAGAGGGTTTTCCTACAACACCCCATACAGAAGGCAGAATTACAGTGTGGGAAGCTTGCATTTGTTAGTTCTAACAAGAAGGTAAAATAGTTGGATCTGTGGGATCCAGCCTGAATAAGAAAGGATATGATGCCAGAAAAAGGCCAATAATTTTGGAAGAAATGTAGGGTTCAGGGGGCCAGTGGTTTGAAAACATGGCGACCAACACGTAAGAGGCCTTTGTGGGAATTAGAAAAAAGCACTCATCCCAAGAGGAGAGATTGTGCAAGCCCTCTGGGTTGAATTAGAAGACCAGTCCCCCTCTGGACAGTGAAATTAGGAATTGAGGCCCCTTTGCCCTGGATGATCAACTTCAGCACAAGCCAACTCTGCAAGTAGAGCCCAGGTGGGATTTCAACTTCAATTTTTGCCCTCAATGACATGCACCCAGCTCCACAGACTGGTCTAGAATAACACAAAGAGTAGCCCTAGACAGAGTCGTAATACATGGAAACTAGAGGATGGTTGTGATCACAGAGCAAGATGTTATATTAGGAAACCAGAGAGAGTTAGCTCCAAGTGATGAGAAACTACAGGGGCACTCATTCATGCATTTATCCAAAACTAGTTATTGACTACCTACTATGAACCAGATCTAATTCTTGCTTCTGGGAGCACAGTTGTAAACAAGAGTCAAGGCCCCATCCTCTTTCCTCACTAGGGAAAGGAAGACAGCAGCTCTATTTGGATCACCCTCTGGTCAGCAAATCAAACATATACATATTTAAAGAGCCACTTCTGCCTGCCCTGGGGGCTTCCACAAAAGACAAAAAGTCACTGGTCACCTTTGGAGGGTGCTCAGTATTCCAAAACTTCATAACTAAAGAGATAAAATCGGGGCACCTGGGTGGCTCAATCGGTTAAGCGTCCAACTCTTGGTTTCAGCCCAGGTCATGATCTCACAGTTCGTGGATTCAAGCCCTGCATCAGGCTCTGTACCATCAGCACAGAGCCTGCTTTGGACTCTGTCTACCTCTCTCTCTGCTCTTCACCTGCTTGTGCTCTCTCTCTCTCAAAAATAAACATTAAAAATAAATAAATAAAACAGATAAAATCAAGCACACATCATCCTTTAAAAAGTTTTTTTCACTGAGATATAATTCACATATCACAAATGCACTTATTTAAAGTACCATAGTTCAACAGGTTTTTTTTTGTTTTTTTTTTTATTTCTAGGAGAGAGAGAGAGAGAGAAAGACAGCGTAAGCAGGGGAGGGTCAGAGAGAGAGGGAGTCACAGACTGAAACAGGCTCCAGGCTCTGAGCTGGCAGTCAGCACAGAGCCCGACGCGGGGCTCGAACCCACGAACCATGAGATCATGACCTAAGTGAAAGTCGGACGCTTAACCGACTAAGCCACCCAGGCGCCCCATCAGTTTTTTAATATATTCACAAAGTTGTGCAAATACCACCACTACCTAGCACTGTACCATTTTTGTCCATTCAAAAGAGGAACCCCAAACCTATTAGCAGTCATTTGAGTTCTCCTGCCATGAGAAACGAAAACTGGTATCTCCTTCTGCTACTACTGGCTCATGTTGGAAATGAGGCTACTGGTATTGACCAGGCCTCACAATATTCCAGATCAGACAAATATTCCCCACACAGATTACTAAAAAGGAAAGGCATGTCCCTGCCTTTTCCAAAGAGATTTCAGATTAAAACACTGTGGATGATTATTAAAAGGCTCTTCTTAAGGGCCTTGCAGATCCAAGACTCACATAATAAAGGGGGCTTGAGTCTAGCCCTGAAACAAAGAGCCTAATTTAGAATTAGGGGCAGATATCCACCCCCCACCCAATTGTTTCTGCTTGGAGCACTAGCCCCCGCTAGCAGAGAGAGAATGAGACACAGAATCCAAAGCAAGCTCCAGGCTCTGAGCTATCAGCACAGAGCCCAACATGGAGCTTGAACCTACGAGTCGTGAGATCATGACCTGACCTGAGGTCAGACACTTAAACGACTGAGCCACCCAGGCGCCCCAACACCATCTCATCCTACTCACAGATAAAGCCAAAGTCCTAACAAGGCCCTGTATGATCTGGCTTCCTCTTCTCACTCTACTTCTACTCTACTCTGAACATCCTCAGACACTATCTTGCTGCCATTCCTTACACTGTGCTTCTTCTCTTCCCAGATATTACAAGGCTCTCTCCTTCACCTTTTTGGGGCTTTTGATCAAATATCCTCTTTATAAGGCGGACTTTTGTGAATGTCCTCATTTACATTTCCATCCACCTGCATACCCTATTTCCCTTCCGTACCTTAGTTTTTTCTCTTCAGCTTGTCAGCTTGTGTCTCTCTTACAGTATAAATCCCCCTTGTGGATCTTGTTTATTATTATGCTTATTTCCCCTTTCTTAGTACAAGCTCCCAATAAGGCAGGGTACTTCATCTCTTATCTCCACTGCTGGATCCTCAGCATTGAGAACAGTGCCTAGCACATACCAAGACTCAGTGAAACTTTATTGAATTAATTAGCTGGTAAAACACCAAACATAAATGAGTTCAACAGACATTGGTCCCCTCTACTATTCATAATTATCCATGTGAGACAATAATTTAACAACTTAGACCAGACTTCCTAGTCATTCGTTTGTTCCTACCATATGGTGGGAGAGTTGTTAAACATTGAGTATAAAAAGTAATCTATCAGCTATCAGGTCCAGCAGGAAAGGGTGTGTGTGTGTGTGTGTGTGTGTGTGTGTGTGTGTGTGTGTTATAATAGTTGAACTTAGTCTTCAAAGTTCAATAGCATGAGCCTATGAGACACCCATGCTGGTATTATCTATACCTTACAAAGAATAAACTGAGGGCAAAGAAATTATACCCACCACGTGTTGTAGAAGATTCTTGGTTGCAGGGGAACTCTGATGATGAGGCTTCTTCCTAGGGGGACATCTCTGCAGTTTGGGATAGAACCACCACGCGATCAGTGTGCAGCATCAACCACAGCATCCAAGGACAGAGTATAATGCTGACACAAACCAATGGAGGGTGACCTCGCTGTCAACCCACTACCCAACCCTCATCT